ACATCTCGAAAACATTTTAGAAAAAAATATTTCATACAAAGTTATATGGTTTCAAGGGAGACATGAAACAAAACTATATCATTTTATTTATGGCGCCAGTTTCGAGATATTCCGATTATTACTTTCCTTAAATGGAAATTTATTATATCATTTTAATTTTTTATTATATCATATCCAATTTTTATTGTATCATCTTTTTCTACCAATTAATTTTAACAATTTTTGTCTGAAACATCTTTTTATTTGCCTAATATTTTTTGAGAAAGGAAATTTGATAACTTTTTCAAAATTTAGCTTACGATATCTCACTATTTATCAGAAGAGAAAATAATATTAGACTTTTTTGGTCTCAAGAATATATTGTTACAATAGCGCCCTAACTTTTGTTAATTTGATGATTTTGAAATTTCCAAAAGTCAATAAATTAATAAGAGTTAAGATCCTATTGTAACAGTATATTCTTGAGATCAAATAGAATAAAAAAGTCTAGTACCAGTTTCTCTTCCGACAAATAACGAGATATCGTAAATTAAATATTGAAAAAATTATCAAGTTTTCCTTAAATATCTCAAAAAAATATTGGGCAAATAAAAAATGTTTCAGATAAAAGTTGTTCAAATTATTGACATTAATAGAAAAAGATGATACAATAAAAAATTAGAGTTTCCATTTAAGAAAAGTAATAATCAGTGGATATCTGGAAAAAGTAGTGCCATCTATAAACAAAATGATATATGGCCTCTTGTTTTATGGTCTCTTTGAAGGCATACCAACTTTTGTCTGAAACATTTTTTTCTAAAATGCTTAGTTTTCGAAACATTTCGCCGTCTCGGTACTTTTTATACACCCTGTATATATATGTACATACACACACACACACCGAAAGATGCTGTTAAAAGAAGGAAGAGCAATATAGTTTGAGCTCAGTGAACATTAACAGCAACATTGCATCGATGTTATTTCTTATTCAACTACTACTAACTTTTATGTATTTTACATTTACATTACTCTGAGTAGAAAATTATAATATTGATATAATGTTGCTGTTAGTTGATGATTACTGAAATTCAATTAAATGTCGGCTGATCTGTTGCAAGCACAAGCATTTATTTCAATTGTATTTATTCAACAGCATTTCTTTCGCTTTAGACATATATAATTACACATGATTATATACAGGGTGTTTTTTAAAAGAGTGGACTGATTACATGTAATTATAATCTTCTTATCAAGGCAGGGGCAAAAAAATACTTAAAACGCTTGATTCAAAATTTGAATAATGTCGTCAGGATTAAAAGAATTAATTCCGATGTTAACGTAGTGTATAAAAAAATAATACTTATGTGAATGAATCTTCAAAATTAGAAAAGAGAAAACAAAAATTAAAAGAAATGCTCAAAATGTCCGCCGTGTGAAGCGATACAATTCCGGCTTCTTCGCATTATGGATTATCTTGTGCGTTCAAATATCCCTGAATAGTGTTGCGTATCGTCCGACATTCATCTTCTGTTCTTTGTAAGTTGCTGATTGTTGTTAATTAGAATTGGATAAACAACTGTTTCCCTGTGGCTCCACAGCCCAGTGGATTTAACAATTTAAATATTGTATATCGTATGCACTGCGTTAACATCGAGATTAGTTCTTTCAATTTTAACTCGATATTAACCTTTTAACAAAACGTTTTGGGCATTATGTTTATCGAAATCTTTTAAATTGTTTTCACGAGAGAATATGATTACATATAATTAACCCATCCATTTTTGGAAACATCCTGTATGTGATCGTATGGAGACAAAATTTATATACAATCATTTCCTTCCTCCCCCCCCCCCCTCCCTCTCCTGGGTTGTTACATTTTTCCGACACAATATTTTTATTGTTTCCCGCGGATTTTGCAGAATCAAATATCGCGCTGTTAGTACACCCTACTAAAGGTAGATGCAAATCGAGAATGATAACGTGTAGTCAACGTAGTAGCGGCGAGCAATAGAGAAGAATTCTACGAGTGTCTTTTTCGAAGCCTGAATGTACGAACTATAAATTAGCGTAGCGTTGAAGTGTGCGTGTGACTTGTACAGAACGTCGCCTCTCATACACTTTACATTTTCCTTACTTATTACTGTTTTATCGCGCGGACTTGTTCCGAGGTAATATACGCCCTAGCAAAGAGTCTGTGAAAAAAACTAATGAATAATCGTAGCATATATAGACAAGAAAAAGTAAAAACAGAGATCGCCGACGAGAAAACTCGCGATTGATTTCCGATATGGTCTGCTGTATTCCGCCAGAATACAGCAGAATATTCGCATTTTGTACCAAGTACGAGAGAAATCGAGTTGCAAGACTGCTTTTATTCGTATCACAGTCGATTTTACTGCACACCATGCGTGGTCCGCGGAAGAAAGGCCCGGCGATCGGCCGTTTTTCGTTCACCACGAGACCTTGCGTCAGCGCGTTAATCAATCGATAATACATAGTACATACGCGTTGCGCGCACATAAATCGGATCACGTAATTGTTAAGTGATATACGACTGAATAATCAACTTAAAATTATTGTAATAATGCGTAATGAAAACGAAACGAAAGAAAAAAAAGAAAAGGAAAAAGAAATACGACGCAGTGCGGTGTAGGATATATATTTGGAGTGTCCCGTAACTGTGATTTTTTAACAAAAAAAAAGCAAAAAAGAAACGAGAAAATATTACCATATATTGGGATATAGGACGATTGGCTTTCTTCCGCCAAGTCACAGAATCGTAGCGCTAACTACTAACGTGTATACATCTGTATATATACAGAGTATATAAAAAGTACCGGGACGGTGAAGTATCTTGAAAACTAAGTATTTCAGAAAGAAAATGTTTCAGACAAAAGTTGTATGGTTTTAAAGGGGGTATAAAAGAACTATATCATTTTGTTTACAGATGGCTTTTGTCTGAAACTTTTTTTATTTGCTTAATATTTTTTGAAATGTTTAAGGAAAATTTTTTCAATATTTACCTTACGCCATCTCATTAAATATTTGTCCGAAGAAAAAGTGGTACTAAACTCTTTTTGGCCTCTATTTGGTCTCAAGAATATATTGTTATAACAGCACCTTAACTTTTGTTAATTTGATGATTTTGAAATTTCTAAAGATCGATGAGTTAACAAAAGTTAGGGCACTGTTGTAACAATATATTCTTGAGACCAAATAGAGTAGAAAAGTTACCAAGTTGTTCTTAAATATTTAAAAAAAATATCAGGCAAATAAGAATATGCTTCAGACAAGAGTTGTTCAAATTAATCGGTAGAAAAAGATGATATAATAAGAAATTGAGGTTTCCATTTAAGGAAAGTAGTGATCAGTGAATATCTCGAAAGTGGCGCCATCTGTAAACAAAATGATATAGTTGTTTTTATGTCGCCTTTGAAGTCATACAATTTTTGTCTGAAATATTTTTTTCTAAAGTGCTTAGTTTTCGAGATATCTCGTCATCCGGGTATTTTTTATGTATATATATACAGGGTGTTTTAATCGTTCTATCCGTGATTATCTGAGAAATCATTAGCGGTCACCGGAAGATGTAGAGAGACATTTCGGATCAAAGTCACTCTGTTTCAGGGGAGAGACGTCTTCTTGCAATCGACGTAACTTTTTTTTAGGCGAAATCGCTTCCGAGATACGCGCGAGCGTCATCTTCGTTTCTCCAGACGGAACCGTTTGTTTCTTTTCTTTCTATTTTATTTATTTATCTGTTTCTTGTGTCTCTTTCCGTTTTTCTTCTTACATCAATCAAACTCTCCGGAAGAAAGTATTCCGTTCACACATGTGTAAAATAGGCTAATAAAATCCAATTAACCAGAATTAATTGATCGATCTCTTGATATGAACTAACGACCAATATCTTTTAATGCGATTACATCAAGAGTGAGTGTAATTTCCCGTGTTTCAATATATATATATATATGGATTACTTTGCGAAAATAAAAAGAAAAAAAAAGAATTATATTATCACAGCCGAGTTTATACAATCGAAGATAGTATAATGTGATAGGTGCTCGACTCACATATATATATATATACACACGTTATATATAAAATTCTAGGCTTTTGTCCACAAAATTCTCGTATTTTACGTATATGTACGACGCTCACGCTGTAAGAGGATGACGTCGAAACGTTCACCGTTACGTTTCATCGTCGTCGTCGCCTCTTATAGTTCGCTTTATTGACGCGATCCATCGTCGATACGGCAATATTTCGGGAGCGGTAGAGTATGCAATCCCCCGAAAGAAATTACCCTTCGAAACGCGCCGCGGATCTCTTTTCCGCGCGATAATTTCTCTCCCAAGAACTGCGATCTCTTCTCGGTGTCTCTTCGGAGAAGAGGGACCAGTCCGGCGAGATTCAGCCGCAGCCACAGAGTCAGAGTTACTTCTTCGAGCGACGCGTATATTCGATCGATGTGTGCTAACAGCGTACACTCTACGACGGACGCAATTCCCATCGTGCGACAGCGAGAAAATTCATTACCGCCGTGGTATAATACGACCGAAGCCTCTGACTAGCCGTCGCGCCAATCAGAAGGGAATCTAGAATACACCAACGATAATAACGTAAAAACAAAAACAACTACAAAATGAATGTTGCCTTTTGTTACATTAGTTAACTGTAAAAGACTAAGATACTAATGAATTATGCGCGATTAATAACGTAATAATCTATATTGTATTATATATATATATATATATATATATATATATATATATATATATGTATATATATACGAGTATTAATATCGATCACACATTATGTACAACGTCGTGAAGATTTTTTCGTATGATTGTAAGTGATATGTGTGTGTGTGTGTGTTGCGTTAATGTAACGCGCCCCTATATTGCAGTAGGGCTGTGAAATAAATCAACCAGACACTTGGCCGCCCCTGTGTGTGTCTCTATTCCTGAGTGCATGCGGATACGGGGACCCATGGGCACAGTTTCCTCTTCGCAGAGAAATGCGTACATATTCCTTTTTTATTCTCAGTGCACGGTAATAATTCACATAATTACAGTATAAATACTAAGTCTACACGAGTAACGAAAACATAATGCTTATCATGTACGTTTCATCCCGCGCGTCGATTGCTGGAAACACGCGGCGGAGTGATGTTCTTTTAAATAAAATCATGTTTGATATATACGCGCACGTAAGCGTGCACGAGAGAGAGGAGTAGTCCTTCTCTTTCAGTAATACTCTAGTCTTGGCGACCGTTTATATCCTTGGACCTGCGTCTGGACGTTTCAAGATGTCGAGATTGTCGCTGCATTATGGCTGTCATTTTGCGACACGTTGGCTACATGCAACACGTTGGCTTGAACGGTGGAAACCATCAGTTCATTCGTGGCTGGTATAGTGCTTCTGACTGGCTCGTGAAAGAAGTACAGCATAAATACTGCTGTCAATACCAGATGCATGCCCAGAATCACGGCAACGTATATTATTCGATGTTTACCTGTAAATTCAAGTTGCTTATACTTGTGTTACTTGCTGTTACTTATACAAAATAAGCCATTTAATGTTTCTATTTAAAATTCTATCTTCTTTGCTTTTCCTTTTTTTTTTTTAAACGAGTGTCCAAAATTGTGTAATGCAAAGCATACTGAATGATGATAATTTAATGAGTGAATTATACATTTAAGTATACAGGTCACTTGTCTCTCTCTTGATTCTTACACAAATCATATGTTTCTCCCCATTCTTTTTACATATAAAGATATTAAGGATTAATAATAAATTAATATTAAAGATATTAAGAGGCAAGATGAGAGGGAGGGAGGGAGGGAGGGAGGGGGAGAGAGAGAGAGAGAGAGAGAGAGAGAGAGAGAGAGAGAGAGAGAGAGATCAAACGAAACTAATAAGTTATGCGATATTTGACGTTATAGCTTTGACATAATCAGACATAAAACATGATGAAATTATTCCACAGCTATTTTTAAATCATTATACTATTTCGTCACATAAGATAAATTTAAAGTCTTGCTTCCAATTATTCTATTGTTCAATTATTCCAATTGAAAATTAACAAAGAAATTTCTAACATTTTTTTTCGTTTTTCGTTTTTCCTCAGTATATCATCCTTTGAGATAAAACTATTTTGAAGTATTATTGTCACAGAAAATGTCGAAATAGCCTGTATCGATACGCCATACCAATGATTGTTTTGTACGTTTGAATATTCCTGAATGAACGTTGCAGGTATTTTGTACATTGCTACAAATCTTGAACAATTTACACTGTATTGATGTATATAATACTATAGATTTTTGTTGACTTCACAAAAAAAATCATCACTTGTATTGGTAAAAATCACTTATATTTAAATCCGGGTATAAAGTTGTAATATTCATTCGTACTTATTTTATTTTGTATGTATAATTCATGCTGCAATTAAAAGGCCGTATTTTAAAGAGTGATATTTTTGGAACCTATGTTTATTGAAATTTTCGTAATAAGTTTTAGAGGTAGAATGCATTTATGAATGTTGACAAGGTTTAGAACTCATCGCCTGACAAAATCTATTATCACGAATCTTGAAAATGCAAAATATTTCAAATGATATCAAATAAATGTCCTTAAATGGATTTTCAGCGACAAAGAAGAAGTTTAAATAACGTTATGTATCGCTGAAAATACTATGTTACTTTTTCAGATAAGTCAATGTACTGTGATTATATATTTATATACAAGTTGCTTAAGTTATTTGAATATTTTTTGCATTAATTTTTAGCATTTATTAAAGACAAAGGATGGTTTCCGAAAGTTTATCCAAAAATTATATATGCTTGCATATAAATTTTGTCTCTATATGTAATCATATATAATTATACATGTCCATACTGAAGAAATGCTGTTGTACAAATATAACTGAAGTAACTGCTCATGTTTATGACCACCTGTGATGTAAACGCATAATTGAACGAAATAATATTTTCTCTTCACTTAACAGTGTTTTTCAGTGTAAACATATATAATTCCATGTGATTATATACAGGACTATAAATAAAATTCATATATATAATTTTATATAATTATATACAATCCTGCTTGATTAGGCCTATATAGTACAAATCATGAAAACATTAATATATGATCTCTTACCTGCAATGACTGGTAATAATGATCGTAGCAAGACTCCTCCAGATAAAAGTGTCACTACTATAGCCAAGCACCATTGCAACCAGCTGATTTGAATTGTCCACAGAAATGTCACTGGGATATAGATAGTTAGAGAATATCCATAAAGACACAAAAGTTCCAGTAATCTTGGAGTAGCGTAAGACTGAGAAATAAATATTACATAAAAATATATTAATATTGTTAAAAATATATGAGGTATTATTTGATAACAAACCTCGATCAATTCCTCTTCAGTATTTCTTGAACTATTAGTCCATTTTAACGCACCCCATAGGGCTAATGGTAGAAGCCATGCATATATAAATATACAAGTGGCTGCATATGAAACGACATGAAAATCATATTTCCAATGAAAATTAGTAGAACCAACAGATGCAAAGTAATTCGCAATGTTGCCACTAATTGCAATGGAGAAGACCAGAGTCATGCATATCCAAAAAGGTCCATATAAATCTGGGTTTGGTTTGATGTGCGTTATAAAATAATTATCGCTACCATGTGGTATCATGGATCGCTTAAGTCGTTCCAAGACATCGTTTGTGTTGACGTTGAAGAACTTTTGGTAATATTCGATCGTCCAAAAGCTGTGTTGAGAATTATCTGACAAACAGAGATTCTAGTTTAGTTAAATTCTACTTAAACGATTAAGAAATCATCAAAAGGAAATCTAGTTCTCTAAATTAGAAATGGAAACAGAAATCTGTCTAAATTAAAACGCAAACGATGCTTCATTATTGATAGTAGGTGAAGGGGAGAAATAATAATTACGAACTTTCGTTTTTACTGGGTATTCCTTGTAGATCCTCTATAATACCGATACCAGTGGAATCATTGGGGAGGTTATTAAATGGCTGATGAGTAGAAGGTCCGGTACCCAACTGTCCCTCTGCATTACCAGCCTGACTTATCGGTGCAAAATCGTGGAATGATATAAACTGCGAATCTGTGTTTTTTGACTGACCACCGTCCATCGTTCCAATGCAATGTTTCCTCTTATTTTCACTTTGACAATTATCAGCTGCATCTAGTAGCAGACAAACGTCCTATCAGGGATCAGGGGTACAAACATTTTGGAAAAGAGAGGATAGTTTGCAGCGTCATCTATTCTGGCAATTGAACTCGCACACAAAGAAATGATGAGAATACTCAAGAGATAATGTAGAACACATCACCAATCGGAGTAAAATTTTTCCTTATTCCTTTCAAGTTGAATTTTGTTGAGTTTTAATGGATGTATCTATTGAGATAGTTCAAAACAAACTAGTGTTTGATCATTTTGATTATAAACAATAAGAAGACACTGATTACGTCTAATTGGCTTCAATTAAAAACGTATATACACTACTACATAGAACAGACATTCCGACTTCAAAGTGAAGTGAGGAGAATAAATACATCGTAAGCAGTTAGATATCCGGGAAAAAGATTATATATGATTATGTATAAGTTATATATAAATTTTGTCTACATATGGCTACGTATACAGGATGTGCCATTTTAAATGAGCCAGGCAAAAATCTCGAAAAATATGAATGATACTAAAAAACATTTCAGACAAAAGTTGTATGGTTTCAAAGGGGACGTAAAACGGCTATATCATTTTGTTTACAGATGGCGCCAATTTCGAGATGTTCACTGATTATTACTTTTCTTAAATGAAAATCCAAATATTTATTACATCATCTTTTTCTACCAATTAATTTGAACAATTTTCGTCTGAAACATTTTTATAGTTGCCTAATATTTTTTGAGATATTTAAGGAAAACTTAGTAACTTTTTCAACGTTTAACTTATGATATTTCGCTATTTGTTTGTCGAAAGAAAAAGTACTTTTTTATTTTATTGAGTCTCAACCCAGTAAGCAAGGAACATGAAATTAATATTTAGAAATGTTGATTTTTTTTATGTGAATTTTTGAACGTTTCTTGAATAATATTATATATACATTTAAAAATTATTATTTATTATTATTTTGCAATATGATTTTTCGACATGTTGTTAAAATATTTTATAAAACATTATAGCAAATATTTTTTAAATATTATTTTAACATTTATTTGATGTTAATGCAACAGTTTATAATTTGCAAGCAAAAGCAAAGCAAAAATGTTTATAATTTGATATTAGATCTGCAACATTATAACATTCTCATTTAAATATTACTGAAACTTCGAAATTATACCCAGAGTAAACATGTTTATATAAAGTGAAGAATTGGTGTAATGTTAAAGTGATAAGCTTGTAATCCAAAGCCCTTTAGGATGTCGGAATTCGGTCCCATCAGTACCAAGGTGTGAGTTTTCCAAATGTGATATGACATATCGATAAAGTAAACCAAGTTTCAAGTAAAACCAGCATAATAACAACTTTCAGAATCGTTTCTACTAGAAAAAGAGCAATAATTAGTTTTTAATTTTTGTACTGAGAAATCACCAAAATGTTAATAAAATTATTAGCACAACATTATTTATAACAACTTTACATTTGTAAATTTAACATTACCGAAACCTCCAAATCGGGGTCAAAGTTTGTTCATTATAATATTGCATACAACGTTAGATACGACATATTTGAAAACGTTACATATTACTGAATATCGTTATAATAACGTTGTATTAATGACTTTTTGCTTACTGGGAAGAATATATTGTTGTACAATAGTGGCCCGACTTTTGTTAATTTAAGTTAGTTAGATATAATGGTGATTTTGAAATTTCCAAAGGTCGGTAAGTTAATACATATACGTATAAGTACGTAGACCGAGCCCCGGGCTTCTCGGCATCGTTACAGTATTTCTTTACGTATAGACTTTAGTTTCAAGTCCACATCATAACATTGTAAATAATCATCATCTTATCGCATTATAAATACCATTCCTAATTTTAAGTTGTCAATAGACTCGGGCTTGCAGCCCACCAAAAATAAAGTTCAAAACATGTACAACTTTATGCCCATCACCTATCCAAGTGCGAGGCGCCGCTGATGAGGCGTCGTCGGCGCAGGGGCGCAGCCGGATTATCCAGATCTTGAGATAACATTACAGGCTCATGTTAGCAATAAGTTCCTTGCTACGTTTCGCTTTAGATTATATAATTTTACACAAAAAGAATACAACTTTCAATAAAGAAAGACGATAATCTAATAAACTGAAACTATGTTTCTCACGTTTCTCTATCCGGTAGAACAGAACCTGTGTGACAAGTTTCTTCAGGTCTCAATGACGTCTGATACGTGCAATATTAATACAAACATTTACAACATAAAAACAAATATTTCAATATCTCACACTTTGCAGCATTGTGTACTAAACTAGCTATAAACATCATCTTACATAATATTTGCAATGATAATGCTTTTTTTCAATTTAAGAGAGAGGTTGAGGATAATATATATTTATATTATTTAGATAAACAAAGAAAAAAAGAGAGAGAGAGAGAGAGAGAGAGAGAGAGAGAGAGAGAGAGAGAGGAAAAGATAAAGTAATGTGCCAGAACTTTATATGGATTATTGTCTATATAATTTTATTTAGATAACAACAAACACTGTATACCATTTTGCATACAATCTCGTAGCTGTTATAATAGTTACAAATGATAATCTCGCTCTTATTCAACTAAATGCGTCACGTAAATTTACACGGCCGACCCCGCAGCCGTTCTTCGCTTCGCTTCTTTACTTGGAGCAACGTATTATAGTATAAATAATATAAAGCGTATCTTATAAATAATATAAATAATATAAAAGCGTAACAAATTTGTCCTTTGTGATTAGGAACAAAAGGATATTCTAATATGCAATCGGTAGAATAATTGGGATAAATAAAATTAAAGCTAATGCGGTTAGAGATACAAGAGTTTTGTCCGATCTTATTTTCGGACCATTGTTCGGTGATATAACAGATAATTTAACAGACCGATTTGTCCTCGGTTGTTTAACATATTGCATTTGTCGCGGTGTATTAATGGCCTTATGTAACTGAGTTTTATAACAATCACGTGCAAAACGGGATTTTCCTCTTAATTTATACATACCTATACAGCACAGAATATTGCTGCAACGTTGCTACAACGTTGCTGCAACATTGCAACATTGTTTCAACGTTGCAGCAATGCCGTTGCAACTTCTGTGCAGTATGGGAATATTTATTTGCAACCTTGTGTCTAAAGCCACCCTCCTCTCGGCGATTTACCGTACGGCGATTTGGGCGTGATGTTAACGAACTTTTCGCGATCATCAGTCTTGTTATTCTCCGAGCTCGAGGCAACTGACAACGACGGAATAGTTGGAAGTTTAGGACTGTGTGAAACTTTCGGGCGCGCTCTGACTGAACTGCTGCCATCCTTCACACTGACCGGAGGTACACTTGCGCTAGTAGAACACTTGCTTTGACTCTCCGTGGACAAGCTGGAGGAAGTTTTTATAGCACTAGAAGTGCTACTTGTGGCAATGGAGTTCGTAACAGTAGAAGTAGTTTTCGCAGCGATAGTAGTAGCGGTGGACTTGGAAGCAGCAGTAGTGGCAGTACTAGTAGTAGATTTGGCGGTAGTAGAAGCTGTCGCAGTAGATATAACAGTAGAAGCAGTAGTAGTGGCAGATGTAGAAATAACCGAAGTAGAAGAGGTAATTGTGGAAGTAACGGCCGCAGTAGTCGAGAGAGTTGATACCCAAGAAGTTGACGGTTGCGCTGGAAGAACGATAAAGTCGTGTTATCCATGAAGTTAGATATCGAAAACGTAAAGAGTTGTAAATTTAAATAGTATTTTTAGTAGTACAAAATGCTTCGTAGAACAAATTTTTATAGAAACAAACCCCTCGATTAGCACAATTTAGAATATAATAGAAAATTCGACTTAATTTGAATTATATTAGTAGATAATAAGATTCGATTTCTCCTTCGAATTATTAACAAGATAATAATTAATTAATTAATTACTAATAATTACTAATAAGATCGAATTATTATGAATTTCATGAATACCGACTCTCTCTGATATTGAGATCGCAGTTTATCAAGTATAATGAGACTTTAAAGCTTTTCCTTTTTTTAAGCAAGATCATTATTTTTTAAGCAGAACTGTTTTTAAAGTAAAATTATTATTTTTTGAATAGAACCATTTTTATGTAAAATCATTATTTTTTTTAAATAGAACCATTTATACAAAACATTGAAAAATCAAAGTCAATTCAAATCGATTTTCTGAAATATTTTTGTAAACAGAAGTAAAAAACTTTTCTTTAATTTTGTAAAATTGCGGTTTCTTTGGCTCACTATTTTTGTTTTTTTCATATGTTGCATTAAATTAGAAAGTTTTAATACATTTTAATCATTTAATGTTAACAACATATTAGGAATTGAATCGTTATGTATTGTTATGTATTTTTAATCAGTTAAAATGGAACATGTATTTTATGTTATATTATTTCCAAGCGAATATGTTTATATTAATAGAATGCATATACGTAGCATAGGAGTTTCTAATTACATTGAAAGAACATTGCAAATTTCAATGTAATATTGCAGAGACATTATAGATATGCAATTGCAACGTTTTGCTAAAATGATCTCACAGCAATGTTAAAGTAATAAAAAATTAAATCTAAAATGCATTCAGATTTTAATAAATAAATATTGTCGGTATATGTAGGTATCATAGACAAAACGTGACTGTTGATTAAAAATGATACAGCCTCTATTTTATATATAGTCACTTTTTATATATGATGTATGTAAAGCCGCAATATTCATTCATTGAAATACTGAAATGTGCGCTGCTATATGATTATGTGTCTATGACAATATGTGAAATTACTATTTTTCATTGTAACGTTGAAGTAATGTTTCATTACGATGTTTCTGAAAGTACACATTTTAATATTGATGTTTATTGCAATATTTCTAAGAAACGACATTTCAACGTTGTCACAATCTTGCAACAACGTTGCAGAAATATTTTGCAACTTCCGTGTAATGTTATAATGTTATAGGTGTAACATATATGCAATATTCTTGTAAAATTTCCGTGTTGTATAGGTATACTTCGAAATGAAATTTCAAAATATTTTGAATAACTATAAGCACTAAATAATTCAGCAACTATAAGCACTGGAATTTTCTCGTGCTTATAGTGCTTATAGTGTTTAGCTTATTGAATATTTTGTATCATAAATATATATTTAAAAATATCTTATATATCTTGTAATAATGTATATTTATTTTTTAACTAGTCAATCTCTAGTTTCAAGAAAAATAGATAATTTAATTGCTATGCATATGAATGAATATGAATTAATTAAAAAATAAATTTTTACACGAAAAGATGAACTCAGACTACTCAAAAGTGAGAGAAGAAAATGATTCATATATTTGTAATACAACACGTTAGAATTTTGGAAAAAAATGGAATAATTACCAATCGATGATTGAGTGCTAGGAGCAGGTGCCTTTCGTTTAATCACCTTCGGTGGTGACGTACGAAGTGGTAATAACGGCGCTGTAGCTTTCGTAGTAGTAGTCTCGTCCTCAAAATCAATCGAGGATGTAGATTTCGCCTATGGATGAAAAGAAAATTAGAAGAATATAAAATATTAATAAACTATTCAGCCTTCCATCGATTACAATAAGTGGTTATCAGGAATCATCACAATAAAAAAATTTATTTATTTAATTGTAAAAGATATTTTTGCATTGAATGCTTACGATAATAAAATTTACGATGGAGATAACATAATGAAGATTTTTATGATATAAACAACAAAATATACAAACTTGGTTGGATAATTAATACATTAATTATCAGTAATGTACTTTGAGAGAGTACCGTACGTTTCTTTTGACTATAGTCACATAATGAGGCAATTACAAAAAGGAAAACCATTTATGTAATAAGCGTTATTACAACACATTGGTGTCAATAGATAACTTTATACAGGGTATCCCATTTTAAAGTTTCCACTAAAATATCTTTTTAGGGAAGCATTTAAAAAAAATGTTTCAGACAAAAGTTGCTTGGTTTGAAGGAGGACATAAGAAAATGATATCATTCTGTTTACAAATAGCGCCACTATCGAGATATTCACTGATCATCAATTTTCTTGAATGGAAATTCCAATTTTTATTATATCATATTTTTCTATCAATTAATTTGAACAACTTTTGTCTGTAAAATAATATTAGACTTTTTTGCTTTATTTAGTTTCAAGAATATATTGCTATAATAGTGTCCTAACTTTTGTTAACTTATCGACCTTTGGAAATTTCAAAATTATCAAATTAATAAAAATCAGAGCGTTATTATAACAATATATTCTTGATATCAAATAGAGTAAAAATTTCTAGTATCACTTTTTCTTTCGACAAATATTTAGCGACATATCGTAAGTTGAGTGTTAAAAAAGTTACCAAGTTTTCTTTAAATATCTCAAAGAATATTAGGCAAATAAAAAAATGTTTCAGAAAAAAGTTGTTCAAATTATTTGGTAGAAAAAGATAATATAATAGAAAATTGAGATTTCCATTTAAGAAAATTGATGATCAGTGAATATCTTTAAAGTGGCGCCATCTGTAAACAATATTTCATCTGTATGTCAGTATGAATACGTAAACAAAATGATATCGCTTATGTCCCCCTTCAAACCAAACAATTTTTGTTTGAAATATTTTTTTCTTAAATGCTTTCCTAAAAATATATGTTAGTGGAAACTTTAAAATGGGATACCCTTTCATCTTATATATATACCTATTTATTTATTTATTTATTTATATATGAATAAATAAATAAATTATTTTAATAAAATTAATCATTTTGTTTCTTTCAATATGTAATATATGTTATATAATAAATTTTCACTTAGATTTCTTAAAAGATTAGATACCTGAAGCTTGGGCACAGATCCCAAAATTTGGGAGATTGGGGGACCTTGATTCTTTGGGATTCCTCCTTCATCTGCGAAATCTGGTTTAACATCGTTCTCAGTCTCGACGATGTTGTGCAAAACATGTAGTATCGTGGCCGCCGTGGTTTCCGGTAATTGGACTGGCATAACAGGCGGCAAAGGGCTCTTTTGTGCCAAACGCTTTGCCTCTTCCATGGCTGTCTTCAGGCTCTGTTGACTTTGCAGCGACGCCTTAGTGTTGCTTTTGCCAATTTGAGAGCTCTTGACTGCATTCCTCACCACCTACCAAATACAAAACATTGTTGAAGTAATTTCATTCCTCCTTGTATCAAATGCAAAGTAGATATATCACACCTGACTCCAACGTTGTTCAGCTGAAGTCAGTACGGCTAATCTCGCGACTCTCTTCCATCTTTGGACGTTATCTTCATTCTCGGGCGGCTGGATAGCCAACTCTTCCTGGAGCTCGGAATCAGTAGGATTCACGGGGCCCGCCACTTGGAAGTCCTTCATCAGCCTCCTCTCCCAGATCTTCATCTTCTTACCGAGTATAGCTAGATAGTATCGAAGAAGCAGTTCATGAGTGAATTTAGATTTCGGAAGAGAACTTTATATCCCTACTCTTTAAGTCGAACTTGGCCAATTCACAGTCGGCTACATTATTTTTTGGCGTATTATTGGATAATTTTTACTAATCACAGATATAGCGATCCAATGGTTTCCCGTTGATGAAATCAGTGATATAAAATTCATCTGGCAGATTGAGAAAAATAACGTTACAATTTACGCATTGATTAGGCATGTTCTAAGCTTTGCTTTCTCGCATTCTTTACTAGCTAGTATTTAGAGGCGCTTACTTTTTTCTTTCATATCAACGTCGCCGATGTCCATGCCGTTTCTGTGCAAGATATCCAAAAGCTCGCATCTCCAAGACGACAAGTCAGACTTAACTTCGTGGATGTCGTCTTCATTAACTGGTTCCAGCTCGTGCTCGCTGTGCGCGTTCACAACGTAGCGCCATATAAGGGCTCTCATCACAGCTCCGTATCTGGTAATTAGTACAAGAAACACGGGAAAAACACAATGTAATTAAGTCTTTAGTACTACGTAATTCTTAATAAGTTAACTGTCTAGTGAGTTTTGTATATTAAGAGAAAAAAATTATTTTCATTAAAATTATACTCGCTTACAACGAAAACTATTTTTCTTCATGATCTTGATTTTTTATACTCTATATTTCTATATTTATTATATTTCATATTTTATATTTTTATGATTCTAACAAAGAAGTATCAACAAAAACGTATATGTATAGTTTATTATTACTAAGGTGATAGCAACATTTACTTCAAAAACGCTTTTCGTGACTATAATTATTCTACAATTTCTGAACATCGTTTGAAGAACATCTAATATCATACAAATTTTTCTTTTAAAACTCTTTTATGTCTTTCGTCGTTGGATTATATTCATTTAAGAAAAAAAACCGACTATTTTTTTAAAAGGCACTTATCTGTCAAACTCGCTATAAGTACCTACAAAAAAAATACAAGTCCCCCTTATTTCCATTTACATTTCAACACATTACAAACTCATTGAAACTGGAAGAGGACACTATTGTGGGATTTCCTTGTCAGTATGCGGCAATAAAAGTTTAATTACGACACATACTACAATAAAACATTGAGAGAAAAGTATTTGGTATTTGGGACTGTAATTACATAATGAAGTAATTATACTCAGGAAAGCCATTTCTTGTAGTGTATGTTACTATAGACTTAGTGCTTTTATTAGAATAACAAAGCGAAACTGATATTGAAAGTGATTATAATTTTAATAGTGTTAACATTTTGTTGATAATAACTTCATACGTACAGGATGCATCAACATATGCATGCATATTGATGTAATACCCTGTATATTACTACTATTATATTTCCTGCTGCATTGAAAAGAGATATAGTGAGTAAATAAAAATATATTCAAAAACGATTACAAAATGGGGAGATTAATCATCTTTTTACTATCAGTGCAAGTATAAAATGAAAGTAATTTGCGTAATTTGAATGTATAACATATGATTAGTTTCAACTATATCGTCACGTGTGATGTGATTTATTGGAGATTATTCCTATGATTTCTATAGCGCCATTGAAAAATAAGACGCTAGTCAACTGGTAATCTCCTTGGCAGTCAAATGTGTATATGTGTAAAAGATATCTCACTTGTATTCACGTGCCCTTCGGCGTACGCTGCTACGTACGCCGACAGGCTTTTTCCGCAAACCACACAGCCGGAAGAACAACTTTGGCGGCGGAAAGATGTTGAAGGGCGGTGGCAGGGTACCAGTTTCCTCGAAATAGCTCATCCACAACTTTGTTCGCGCGAATTTCCATTCGGTGTCGGAGTGTTCCTATCGTCCAAAAATATATGATTACATATAATTATATAAAAAAGTTATACAGAGTGACCATTAGAATTGTATGGAAAATAAACGGTTATATTTCTCCTCCTTGACTTTGGCGGCCATTTTACTCACTAAAGTCTGGTACCTAAAATTCGTTTAAGCCGTTGTACAAGCCATTAGACAGTTTACGAATATTACGATAAACATCGAAAAAAAGTGTCTCTTATTGAGTGCTTCTACAGTAGAGACAAAACCTATGGCAAAGCATATCGTGCATTTCGTAGTAAATATGGATCTAAAAATGTATCAAACAAAATTATACTCAGAAAGTATTATAAGTACAATAGAATTACGCCCTAACCTAAATAACTCTTACCGATAAACAACTTTTGCCGATAACAGTCCCTTCGAAAAAAATTTCAGGTAGATCCCTTTTACAGCAATCGCAGTCTATACGAAGATATTTTCGGAATGAAGAGGAACGGCAGTCGACACATTTGGATTTTCTTTTCCCCAAAACTTATAATTAATCTAACCCCAACCTTAGCCTATTCTAATTTATACATTATACTTTATCTGGAATTAATCTGGAATTTGATTTATTGTTAAATATTTTTTTGCTGAATTATTGATAATTTTAGTATTCTGGCATTACTTTAATATTATGGCACTCTGAATGATCATAGACATGATTTATCCGGTCCATCTCGAACCGTTATAACGGACGAAACAGTTGATAATGTCAAAGCATATTTCGAAGAAAATCCTTCGAAAAATACTTTGATTCGGAAAACTCTTTAGGTTACGAACTGTTTAGGTTACGAATTTGAACTCTTTGAAAAATTGTGAAAGACGTCATGAAGCTACATCCTTATAAAACCACTACACATCGATTATTGATAAAGAAAACGATGGAAAAACAAATTCAATTTTGCGAGATGATAACCGATATGTTTGAGAATGAAGAATTCAATGAAAAAGAGATTATTTTTGGATGAAGTTTATTTTCGGTTGAACAGTTACGTCAACAAGTAAAATTATCGGTTTTGGAAGAAAGAAAATCCGAATGTGTCGATTGGAATTTTTGAAGGGACTATTATCGGTGAAAGTTATAAAGAATTATTGGAAATTAAATTATTTCTATTAGAAATTAAATGTGTTATAACTTGTAACCAATATATTATTTAAACAATAAATATTAGAAGCAGTATATAATATCTTTCGATTTTGTAATACATATTCAAACATCTTTATCTTGGCAATCGTTTGGAATAGAATACATGTTTATATGAACTTCTTTGTTTACAATGGCCGATGCCATCACCTTGTATAATTATATTAAATTATATATGTCCATAAAGAAAAATATTTGGACGAATAAAGTTTCAATCAATTATAAACGTCGACACATTATGGATTATTACTGCACTTTTGCCCGAGTGGGTGCAACACTTCTTCAATCATCTATCTTAGCACGCGCTCACTCATCACATTTCTGTCTTTCTTAATAATTCGACAATTATTGCGAATATTGCGAAACGGTATAGGACTTTTATGTTTATCTTCATCCGCTTTATGTCTCCACGAATTCCTCGTATTGAGTTATGAGACATTCTGTACAAACTGTTTCTCGAAGCACATCGTCAGCACAATCATTGTCGACATCACTTGGTCAATATTGTTTGAGCTATGGTTTTACCTCAATAACGGCGTAGCTGTTGCTCATCATAGCTATCAATAGATTCAGCAACACGATCACGTTGATCACGGAATACGATCCGAACATTAGAAGGCCCCAAAATCGAGTGTATGACTTGATTCCTGAAGATAACATAAAAAATAAATGACAGTTAGTAATATTTAGGAATTCTTCATCGACAAACGACGAAGAATAAATATTGTTTTTATATTTGAACTAAATACATATTACAATCGTATTACCAGTGAGTTCGAAGGCCTCGATGCCCACCATGCCGAAACTGGCCCAGAAGAGACTCTGACACGATTCAAACAGGTTGCTGAATCTGAAGGAAATTCATAAGAAATTCGTTTTGAAAAATCTTTGTGAAGTATTTTGATTTTTATTCAGCTAATTGGAAGTTTTCTTATTATTATGGACTACAATTTTTCAATGTTTAATGTATTTTAATATTTTAAACAGTTGAATTTATGATCTTACTTAATTGTTTTTAATTTTACACAATTTCTAATAGCTAACGATTGAATCTGTTCTTATTTGTCCGCTTTATTATTTATTTAAGACGAAACAAGTACTAGCTTAATAACTATGAATTAAATTTGCTAATCTTTTAGAATCTTGAAATATAAAAAAATTAAAGTCGAAAGTGGAAGTATAAAGTCTTAAAGTTGTCAACTGAAGCTCAAGAAAAATTTCTTTAAAGAGGCAATTTTTATAAGTACGTATTTCCTCGATGAATGTATTATACGTCTTACCGAAACTGTGCTACCTTAATTAACAATTCATCTCTCAATATTACAGGATGGAAGGGATGCGGGCACAGCCTGTTATTTTTTTATGATTATTAGGTAACGGACATGTGTTTGCCGGAAATTCAGTCGAACAGGTGAGGGAAGCGGACGCGTCTGTCATCCGTGTCTGGCAATTCGATTATTCCATTCACCTTCTCCATCTTAAGCAGGCGTCACTGCCGGCATCCCACGACGGGTCCGACATTCCGCTATAACATTTCCGCCTCTCCAATTCCGCAAAATACCACAGTAGTTGATTCAAGCCACAGGCAAAGGCAAATAATACTAGGCTGTAGATGAAAAAGAACTTGACGATGTCGATCACCATTCTGCCCAGTGATATCTAAAGAACAGAAATCACGAGATATGATTTTTCTCGACAAAATGTTATTAAACTATTAAAAATATTGTTACGTGCTGCGTACTGAATCGCGCGGAGAAATCAATCACAATATTGTTATAAATAAGGCGTTTTGCTACTAATATTTACATAGGTATTTTCAACTCTCTTGCGTAACGAAATAAAATTCGTGGTCTCGATCGCCACTCGTCAGCCTTCTACGACAACTCTTTCAGCTGTTTTATTGACACTTATTGTTAAGGAACAATGTCAACCAGTTCTTTGTTGTCTTCCGACATAATCCTTTCAGCTCTGACTAAACCCTTTGCGGCATATATTTTTCTATTAATTGAATTTTTATGAAAATTGATGTGCGACTCTTTCAGCTATTTTATTGACTCGTTGTTAAGGAACAACATCAACCAACTCTTTTCTTGTCTTTCGACATAATCCTTTCAGTTTTAACTTGATATCGGATGCGCGGGTACGACAATATTTATATTAATTATATTGAAATAACAGATGATGTCCGATGTATGAATGTATTAATTTGATTTTTTCTCAGAACAAAGAAAAATTGAAATAAAAAATTGATTACACAGTGTGTTGGGTTTTTCAAACAGCGGATATTAAGGAAGTTGTAAGAAATTTCGTATAATTTATCGATTTCAGGAAATTTTGTATAATCTACGGCTAAAAATTATGTCTATAAATAGCAATCACGAAGTATGATTTTCTCCTAGACGAGATATTATTGCTGTTCAAAACATTTATATTAATGTTAATTGTATCAGGTATCCTCATCTACACGAGCATTAACGTAACATATCTCGAAATGAAAGATTACAATAGAGAACTATTGGATTTTTTAAAATAGCGAATAAACGAAATTTCAAATTTTGTATAACGATAAAAAGGATCGAGCAATCTAGCTTTCAGCACATTTCTAAGAGATTAATTATATTTAACTTTGAGTATATGTTAAAGAAGTTTAATTTTTCTAGCAGTACTTTTTTCATTTTTATGAATTTTCACGATTTCATCCCAAAACATATAAAAAGGAACGTGCTGCGCTGACTCTTTGCAGCTGACTGTACAAACACGATACCTGAAGAGGTCCCAGGTGCGGGTTGATGCTGAAGAGATGGACAAGCTTCAAAGCGCTGAAAACATTTGCGGCCGCGAAGAGACCTTCCGCGATCAGCTGCGGATCGAAATCGCCCCAGTTTTCTCTAGGTATTAGTGCGGCAGACGGATTCGATCGTATTTCGGAGCGTTGCTGAAGATAAGCTGCCAGTCGGAGAAGGCCGGTCGCTAAATATAGCATGTTTCTCGTAAAGTCGATGAAGTTCCACATATCCCGCAAGTAAGCTTTCAGACCGTCCACGTAAACCTTAAAATTCGCAAAACTGTCAACTACAGAGAAATTATAGGAAGAGCAAAGATATACGATGACATGTAAAAATATCTTTTTCTTGTTATTTTTTATTTTTTATTTTCTTATTATGAGCTAGATCAGTGTTCAACTTTGTACAAAGATAGATAAAGACGTTAGATCCATTGCATAACACACGTGTTATATGGAGATTACGACATATAATATTTAGTTTTAGAATTATGTGTAAAATATTGTGAGTGAATCGTGAGGTTAGGAAAATTTATTTTTTCTCTTGTAAAAGAAGACCCATCTAATTGAAGAATTGTGAAATCGTAGTTTTTTTTTGTTTTTAGTCCGAAAGATGTATGCCAAGACTAGATAACCGAGTTGAAATATATTGCTTCAAATGAAGATGAATATGTGAATTGTAAATTTGCTAGATTTGGCTTCCATAATGGAGCTGTCATTTTTATGATTTTGTCTTCAGTGTTTCAAATTAATATCAGATTACCTCTTTTTCTGAATAATAAAATAAGCTGAATTAATGTATATAGAACTAATGTGTATAGAATTAATGTGTATAGAATTAATGTGTATAGAACATTACAAAAGAAAACGACAAAAAAGACTTGAATTCAAAAACCAAAACGAACCTAATTTTGTTCACATCATGACAGTATTGAATATTAAATTGCAACAATGCAAAATCGCAGAATTGTTCAAAACAGAGAGAGAGAGAGAAAGAGAGAGAGAGAGAGAGAGAGAGAGAGAGAGAAAGAGAGAGAGAAAGAGAAAGAGACGATATGCAGAGTGTTAAAAAATTGTTCATGACTTACGGACTAAATAATATTTTTTATATTGAGTAAAATATTCAGTAAACATAGCTCGAAAAATCAGCCTATCCATAGTTATAGATGTTATAAATTTTCGATTTAGGTAACAAATTTAATGAACGAGTATTTTATCATATTATTAATTTGTTGTTATTTCAATATCTAGAAAAAGTGTTTTACACGTTGTCCATTCATTTCTATACACGGTTGACATCTTTGTTACAGAATTACGAACTCAAAAAAATTCATGGTTTTCTTCAAATTAGTTTAGCTGTATCTTGAATTCCCTTATGTAATTTTTGTACATTATTTATCATGAAAAATACAAGTTTTTATTCACGTTTATCCCTATAGAAAAAGAAATACCATAGATCCAATTCGAGAGGTCATATAGTTTATTCATTCCGTCCAATTCGCTTTTCGACGAATGTTTCATTGAAATGGTTTAATTTTTAATAGAACTCGCAATTCTGCAATACGAAAATGTTAGGTCTGTGTAAAAATGGACGGTAGACGTTTTTTCTTGTCACATCAAAATAATAATAAAATAATAATATGGTAAAAGATACTCTCGTCCGTTAAACTTGTGTCACCAAACCGATAAACAATTTTGAAAGGGAATTTTCCAACCTACGTTTACTAGGCAATTTTTGCTCAGTATAATACTATCTATAATCTATATGTATAATACTGTACTACAAGCGTTTTGAATCCTTTTTTTAACACCTTGTATATTCTCAGATTGTACCCGCATTAATTCTTCATTCGTATTATTATGCATTGCTTGCGTACCTCTCTTATTTCTTCCCATATGAATCCGGTGACGTATAGTACGACAATGCCTTCCAGAGGCGTAGGAGCTGCTCCTCTCTGTCGTGCCAAATAAGCTTCTAGGTTTCTCTTCATTTCCTGAGTGCCCAAGAGTCTAACGATCTCGACTTCCGCACGCTGCGACACTAGCATGAGCACGACTACAAATGACAGTAGTTGAATAATCATGTTGCTCTCTTTATTAGAAGATATGGATCATTATCGCCGATCTCGCGAAAGCAGAATTACACTCACATAAGAAGAACAAGTAGGACGACGCGTGAATGAGAAACTTCATGAAGGGTTTACGCATGAGCTGGCCGGTTTTCGACTCGGGCATCAGATAGTACATCATACAAAAAAAGGGAAACATAACTGCGGTCTTTACGAGGATAGTGACTCTCTGCGTGGTTGACATCCTTCGAAATCCGGGTACACCTTCGTACCTTTGAATTTAAATCAATTTAACAAACAGTTGAACAATATTTCTGAAAATTTTGCAGGATTAACGATTATGTGAGTAGCTCGATTAGTATAAAAGATGCTTCTATATTGATAAGTTTTGACATGCAGACAATTATCGATCTGAATGTTGAAGAAATGAGAAAATTTTATTAACTGTTTGAAAAGGTATAGATGTCATTTATCCATGGAAATTATTAGATGATAAATTTAGTTTTCGCCGCTCACGATAGATGGTTCCAGCTGCGAAAGTGGTAAGTTTTGACAGCTGAAGTTGATTATTTTTTGAAGGTTAGGCAATAAAATTTACTGCGCAAAGGTTAATTTTTGTGAAAGTAGAAATATTTTTTAATCAATTTAAAATGAATCGTGGTCAGTTTTTTCGATTATATTTTTCACTACTTTGATCTAAAGAAAATTGTAACTGAAAACTGTAGCTGAAGTGTATCAATTGACACTTATAATGAAACTTATGGTGAACAAGCTCCATCAGAAAGAACATGTAGAGAATGGTTTGAACGACTTAAACATGATGACTTCAATGTGAAGGACAAAGAATGTTCTGGACAGCTGAAAAAGTTTGTACGCCAAATTGCAAGTATTATTGATTGAGAATCCAACTCAAACATTCGAAGAATTATTAAAAGTGTTAAATGTTACAATGACTGTTTCTAAGCGTTTACGCACTATGGGAAAAATTCAAAAGAAAGGAAAATGGCTGCCACATGAGTTGTCTGAAAATGCTATCTTGAATTGTCTGTCTATCGCGACTTCCTTGCTTACTAGGCTAAAAAAAGCTTTTTGTGACACATTGTAACTGGCGATGAAAAGTGGAGTTATTTCAATAATCCCAAGAAAGAAAATCATAGCTGGATCCTAGCCAATCATTCACATCAACGCCCAAACGGAATATTCACGGCCATAATATATTGCTCTGTATTTGATGGGACCAAGAAGGCGTGCATTATTATGAGCTACTGCAATCGAACGAAACAGTCATAACTACCAACAATTGTACCAATTGAACGATAAATCGATGCGAGAAAGGCCATCAGCAGCTATTAATCGACGTAAAACGATTCTTTTGTATGACAACGCACAACCACATGTTGCAAGAACTATAAAAGAAACTTGGAACTTGAATGGAAAGATCTTCTCGTCCCCTTCCCCTCCCGCACATACACCCAGCCTATTCTCCAAACTTGACCCCATTGGATTACCATCCTTTCCGATCGATGCAGCACGTGCTTGCCGATACACACTTCTCCAATTACGAAGAAGTCCGAAAATAATATGAATTAATAAGGTGAATGAATGACTTGCTTCAAAAAACAGCTCGATCTATCGTCGCAGAATCCAATTTTTGGCAGAAAGATTGGAAAAAGTAATGGAAAACGATGGAAAATATTTTGATTAATGTACTCATTCATTTTCTTATTAAAATAAATGTATTTTGCAAACAAAAACGCGAAGATGGCGAAAATATGTAAAAAGTGGGGATTACTTTAAAGATTAGGTAACTATTCGTTTTTTTATAAATGAACATTAAAATTTTGTAAAAAATGAGAATTAAGTTGCGCGCCTAATATTAATATTATAATTTAAAGAATAAATAATCAGTTCTGGTCACCACTTTCGATAATTTATTTAGTTTTTAATGTATGTTGTAAAGGTGATGAAACCAATATTAAAAACATTTTACTTGGCAGCCGTTGTTTATTAAAAAGTTATCAACAAATATAGATACGTTATAATTTTTCGTTCTTTTGGCTAAAGAAAATTAAATAATCAGTATCTTATTTTAAAACGTTTTAGTCTCACATTTAGCTATTTCAACTTCAGGCGTTACTCAAAATTATAAATTTCACAACATATATCAAAATCAAGGACAATAATGAACCTTGTTTTGGACAAAAATTGTAGGATAATAATTTTATTTGTTATAATAGTAATCTATTATTTATTAAATAACCTTTTAATAAACAATGGCCGTCAATTAAAACATTTTGAATGTTACTCAGGATCATCACCTTCACAACATACATCAAGGTCAAGGTCATCAAAAATGATGATCATAAACTGAACATTCATCAGAATGAACTTTTAGATGAGAGCTACAATTGACTACACTTCGCGGCCTACGTTCTGCAGAAGCTACCTGACTTAAGCAAATTTAGCTTATAATCTTTAATTTTTCGATTGTAAATAAATATCGATATAAAAGCTCGAGAAAAAATAGTTATATATATAATTATATATGTCCACGCTGAAAAGAATATTATTGTTAAAATATATAAATGCAGTTAAAGTAATTGCTTATATATTTGTTTATGGCAGCCCATAAACGTATAATTGAAACAATCTCTTCTCTGCTTCATTTGAAGATATATATATGATATATATGCGAGTGTCTGGGATATTTTGGAAACGAAAAACTATGAAGATTAATCAGATCAAACTGAGAAAAGAAGTCACATATCATTTTGCAAAAATCGCAATAATTATTAAATTATTAATGATTGAAAATGATCATATCTAGAGATTCTTTTAATTGATAATTTGAAAATTTGCGTACTTATTTGCAAAATAGTAAAGGACTTTTTTGTTCAGAATGACTTAATTTACAATTATATGACGGTTATTGTGCCTAGCGACAGGTTCAAGATTCAGGGTTCAAAGTTCAATATACTCATCTATCGCTAGATAAATATGAGATAGACTGTAGGGTGTCCGGGATCTTTTGGAAATGAAAGTTGTGAATATTAATCAGATCGAACTGAGAAGCAAAATCAAGTACCATTGTGCAAAAATCGCAATAGCTATTAAGTTATTATTTATTGAAAATGACTATTGTATCTAGTAGAGATGTGCGAACTATTCGAATCCGAATCCCTATGATTCGAATCCGAATAATTCGAAAAGGAATCAAATACATTAGCGTTTGCGTGCATCACAAAACGGGCCATGTGGGCCTGTATGTTTGAACCCTTAAGTTGTAATTAACTTAACTTATAATTAATAACTTAATTATAAATTATTTTAAATATTTAAATATATATTTTACTTTAAAATGATATTACAATATCAATATTCCCTTTCATATTAAAATTTTCCATCATTATTTGCATGTTTAATAGTCATGTTAAATTTTTTAACGATTCGATTCGATTTCATTCAATTCGAATTCGAATTTAAAAAATGAGATTCGATTGGATTCGATTCGACATAAAAATTCTTGATTCGCACATCTCTAGTATCTAGCCATAGATATAATAAGTATATTGAAACTTTGAATCCTGAATCTTGAACCTGTCGCTAGGCACATCATATAATGAGCATAGCCGTCGTATAATTGTAGATTAAGATCATTTGGAACCAAAAAGTCCTTTATCATTTTGCAAATAAGTATGCAAATTTTCAAGTTATCAATTGAAATAACCTCTAAATGTGGTAATTTTCAATTATTAAAAACTTAAACGCAACTATTGCGATTTTTGCACAATGGTACACGACTTTTCTTCTTGGTTTGATCTGATTAATCCTTATAATTTTTGTTTCTAAAAGATCCCGGACACCCTGTATAATATACACTCATATGTATGTATGTGTATGTGTTAACGCAAAATGTTAATAAATAATAGAGTTTCCAAGAAATAGCACAGAAGTTTTCTATTGTAAAATAACATTTAATAAACATTTTACCGCGCTTTACCTCATAACGGACAACTTGTACTAGTTCTTGCAAGCTTTATTATTTAATAATTTATTATAAATAATTTTTGATGTTATAAGACGTTTAACCTACCAAATCGCTGCCAGAAGCTGTTGAACGTGAGAGTGCGAGACAAATCTCTTTTGCCTGTACTCTATAGCTTGTTCCAATCGAGCCAGCTGCTTGCTGAGTTCGATATTTTCCTCGTTGGGATCATAATTCAGAATGGTGTCCAGCTCTGTGGTGGTCCGTACGTGTTGTAATAGGTCCACAGCGAATCTGTTCGAGACGATCGTAGTTATCGATTAAAAACTGCGAAAATAACATTGACGACGAATTTCCGCGAAAGATATTTTTCTCACAGCGACTTACTTCTCCACTTGCCGCCGCAGCTTCAAGTACTCTGCTCTGCTCTCCGGTTCCGATATCGCTAATTCCCTGAGCTCCCAACTCAACTGGAAAGCCGTTATTAGGGGATCCGAAGAGCTCAGAGCTATTAAACTTGGACTAGCTAATGCTTTGTACTCGGATATTCTGGTGGACGACAGTCTCAATGGATCGCCTAAGAATAATGTTGATCTTTCATTATTTTCTCGATATTTTCTCAGCTAATTAAAAATATACAAAGCTTCGATAACATCGTAACACTTATGTATCAAGCGAAAATTCACTAGTTGTCTATACTAATCGTTCTTACTTGCATATGTATATACACAACTCTCTAAACTTCTCAAAGTGAAGTCTCAATTCGAACGAGTGCAAATTTATTTGGAATTACAAGAGTGAAATAATATTTAATGAAAATTTAAGATGAATTCTCAATCCATATGAATGAATGTTTCCGTAGATTAGAATAAATTTATTTCATATGGAGATAAACTAATAAATCAAATTTACTCTTTAATTTTTAATGAAAACATTCCTTGACTATTTGGTACAGAAGCATTTATTCTCTTACTTAATTTTTCAAATAACTCAACTGTCATTCAGCTATTTTATAAGTTTTGGCTAACTAAATATTAAGGTTTCATTACAGCTTAGCATATAACAACAACGATAAATGGTCCTTTCTTTGGAGGAAAATTAGATTCATCGTCATCGCTCTCTTACCGGTGGATGCCTGAAGACAGTCCTGGCAGCCGCACCTCACGTCGTGCGGCATCGGCAGGGTAGCTCCCCTGTCGAGCAGAAGCTTCAGAATCTCGTAATTGTTGCGTTGCGCCGCGAGCACCAAGGGTGTCATGTCCATCGAATACCTAGCCGATGCCGGGTCTACTTTCTGCCAGCTATGTATAATATCTTTCTCTGCTGCGGTTGAAAAAGTGTGACGAAATTAACCCTTTCAGGTACATATTATCCCTTGCATTAAAAATATTTAATAATATTTGATCTAGGGATTTTTCGAGTCGCTGAATGCAAATCTATGAACAAAAATTTTTAATTTTAAAAGTTTAAATAGAAACGATTGGATTTTTATATGTTTTGATGAAAAAATGTTAATAATAAGGAAAAAACATGGCCAAGTTATTTATATTAAAACACTAAAGAGTACTACACGGTGTACTGAAAAGAAACTTGCGTAGTAACTTTTATGAAAGGTTCGTGGGGATACATTAAAAGAACTGATGACTGACAATAAAATGACATTAAAAAAATTCTGATTATTTATTTATTTATAATATTTTCGCAAGTAACAATTAATTGTATACACTTTTGTTATACTTGCTACTGTTCTAGAGACTTTTAAAAACAGAAAATATTTTTTAAGGATATTTTTCCCACCATATTTTAAAAGGTTACAGTAGCTATTATGAAACAAAAAGAAATCCAAAGATTCTAAAAATATGACTTGAGTTGTGTCCTTCGTGTTTATTGTTTAATGCACTTTTAATAATAATATCTTTATTCAAACTTGGAATTTCAATTCCCGTCTCGTTAAATTGTTATTTATTTTATTCTTAAAGCAACTAAACGATTTAAAAAAACCCTGCATATAGAACAAATTACAAAAATCATTCGATTTTTTTCATTTTACAATAGCTATGTTAGTAAAATTGTTTTCATCATCGAGCGCTTCTATAACGGACAATGATGTTGAAAACAAATTTAAAATATCGTCAAACACAAATAAGGAATTTATTTTCAAATGGACAAAAAAATTTATTCGATTAAAATATCAATTTTTATCAGAAAATTCCGTAACTATCGTTTATTTTTAACCAACCGAAATGTATGTTCTTTTTTTATGCTATTGTTACGTCCTGCGGACTCCGTGTATTCTAAATTCTTTTTATAAATAAAGCGAATTAATTTTATATTACTCACTATACGTTCAAATGTTCATACTTAACGAACATGTTTCCGCGACTCTTCGAGCACGGTGGGACGAAAGAACACGTCACACACCGATTTCTCTTTTTTTTCTGTCTTTAATCGGCGAGTTTCTCTATTTCTGTCAGAAAGATTTGCTGAGTTATTTTAGCCAGAGGTTTTCCCTTCCAAATATCTTTTAATAACTTCCTCCTTCGGAGCAACAATTTCCTTTGAAGACGGACCGACCAGTCAATCTCTCATATTGTTACATGGCGCGACTAACCTTTGATCCTCAAGAACTCATGTCTTTTCCACGTCCCTTCATAAATTTTATTGCGCGCCAACTCTAATTAAACCTAACGAAACTTTGAAATCTTTTTATTGCCATATGTATCCCAACTCCTACAATATTTATCCTTGAGATATTGTGACGCACCCTCAAAACCCCACCTTCAAAAATCTTTGCAACAAAGTCCTATGACTATATTTGGATATAAACCTTAGATCCCTGACGCAACTTCCAAAACCCCACTCTTTCAAGCGGGCTGAGAATTTGAGAAAAACCAAAAGGTTACTTCACTTCTCGACAGTCTCGCGATGATCGAGGATCGAAATCTCCACTCATCTCGCGACTTTTCAACTTTTAATTTTCTGTTCATACTCGCGATTCAAAACTAGCGCAGTTAAGTGCTCGAAACTCAGCCCCGCCGGCACCAGGGTAAAAGGCCAACCTCCTACATAAAACACAGATTGGAACAATTCTCTTATTCAAGGCTTGTCACTCCTTTTCTATTAAGGCGACCTTCATCTTCAGCAAACAATAAGTTATTCACATATTGTTTTTCTCTCCTAAATCGAACTCCCTCATTTGAATCTTTTTCATTTTTATCTCGAAATTCGTTGCAGTGGGCTATCGTGTCAACTCCTACGTGACTATCAACCGAGTCCTCAACTCACCAGATCGTTCTTATTCTTCCTCACCGAATTAGATATTATTCGTTTTCCTTCCCTTTTTTCTCCCTTCAAGATATTTGCGCGCAACCATTACATAATATACACGCTACTGTCCGTCGTTGCAATGTATAATTTTATATTAACTACGCGAAATTATTGTACAAAACCTCGTGCCGACAATATTTGTTAAAGCTATTTTAAATTTGCTCTTAGATCTACCTTAATAAAATGTGCCGTCAATTTTTTATAATTTATATTAATTTTATTTTATAATTTAAATCCCACTTTTCCAATTCATACCCCGATTCCAACTATCAACTCGCGGTCCAATCCCAGGTAAAGAGATTTAGTTCTTTGATCTGAAAGTGGACCACCCGCCGTACGTCGCGATCGGAGTAAACGGACCCCTCTGGTTCCTAACCTATATCGCGCATACGCAAGTACGTGCGAGACTCGCAAGCGCGAGAGCACATTGCGTTCCTCCTCCAGGACGTAACACTATATAAAATTACTTAAATTTTTATTCAATATTCTTTAACCCAATTAGATTTTTATTTAGTATCTATTAAATATCTTTTAGTTCTTAATATTAAATATTTTTCAGTACTTAATGCGTTTCTCCTCGTATTATCGCTTCAAGGTCATCGATTTTGACTCACAATTTTGTTCAGTCAGTTGGCTCGCCGTGAGAAGTTCTTCATGTTCCAACAGTAACTCGACCGCCTCCACGAATTCCTGATCAATGGCGTGGAGCAGGGCGTCCTTGGTCTCGACTCCCATCACAACCAGTAACTCGACCATTTCTAAATTCTCCGCTTCTATCGCCAAAGTCAAAGCACCACGACCCAGACTGTCCACGCAATTCACGTCCAACGATTTTCCCTGAAACTATTAGACTCCATCACTAGCAACGATTGTCGCACCCAATCTTGCAAAATTGCTTAAGTTTCATTCATGTGTCGTTTCAAAAATTTCATCCTAGATATGTATCTATATTTAAATGTTAATTTAAATTCAATTCGAAGAAAAAACATTCCAACATAAGTTCGCTTAATTCCAGCAGATAAAAACGACTGTCATTAAGCCGGCTATAGACGATATGGCAAACATTGATGCAACATTGATCACAAATATAAACCCAATGTCAGGTTAATACAAGAATCTTAATACAAGAAGGGTTATTACAAAAATCCATAGAGCAAAAAAAGAATAAAATAACGTGAGATTCATACTAGCGCTAATATAGTCCTCTCCCCTTCTCGAGTATTTCTATTAGAATAACTGAATGTATCTGCTCGGCATTAACACATTTTTTTTCAATGAAATCGTATGTTGTTCTTTACATAAATACATTTTTCTTATCAATCTGTGTATTAAAATATTAAGATAATTATGAATAAAAAAATAACTTATGAATAAAAGAAAAAAAAGATAATTACAAATAAAAAAAGAACAAAGCAAGAAAGCTACAGAAAGCATTAAGATTTTCTGCGGAAAGTGAATATTCTTCCGGGCACTTCATATTTCCTTTTGATATGATACAAACATTAAGTGTTATATATTCAAAGCATTTACTTTTGGCTGACTTTATCTTTTCCCCCTTCTTAGTCCTTAATACTTTTATATATAAAATGACTTTTTAAAAATAAATAAGGAAAACTGATAAAATAATTAACTGAATACTCACAGGTATTCGGATATCCAGAATCAAACATTGTTTTCAACAGATATCATATCTGTTTCTTTATATAAATATATCCTCTTTATTAGATTATATATAAAATATATAAATAAGACAACGAAAAAATTGATCAGATATTTCATATTTTATTTAGACATATCTTATAATATAAAAATTAAACGTTTTGCAAAGTATCTATTTGTAACTCGATTTTCAGGTCATTTCTCTCCCTGAAGAGATAAGCTGAAATGTTCACAGAGGAGAGTCAAAAATACATTTAAAATAGACGCGGTATCAACCCGGAAAACAGGCCAAATAAGTATCTATTTTAATTGGCTTTACACCTTGATGCTTTTATATTAGATCTAGTAGTTAATTCTTTCCGATTTTCGACAATTTTCAATCTTTATTTAAAAATCAATAGAACAAGATTAATAAATGAAATATCCTCCGTTGTTATCGATGACCTTACGCCATTTATTGGGCAGTTGCCGAATCCCATTATGATAGAAACTTGATAGCTTTGAGGCTATAAAGTCATCGATAAAATTTTGTGTGTCGTCAACTGTCAAAAAATGTGTATCAGACACTGCGTGTTGCATCGACCGCAACAAGTGAAAATCTGATGGAGTCAAGTCTGGAGAATACGCCGCGTATGGGAGAACTTCCCAGCCCAAATATAAGATGGTTTCCTTTGTGATTTCTGTTGTATATGGTAACACTGTCATGCAGCAAAATAACTTTATGGCTACCTTGTCTAGTAAATGACCTTCTTTCTCGATTATGTCGCTCAAACGTAGCAATTGCTCTTATTAAATCTCTGCTTTAATGGTTTTACCCGGTTCCAAGAGCTCAGTACACTCTTTTGATCCTACCATATACAGAGAAGAACTTTTTTCCGAAACGTTTGGGTTTTACTGTCGATGTTGTCAGTTGATCAGGATCTATACATGATTTTTTGCGTTTAAAATTTTCACACATAATCCTTTTTTCATCACCAGCTACGATTTTGTGCAAAAAATCTTTTTTGTTATCTGGCGAACAAAGTAATGCATGTGGTCAATAGAGAATTTTTGTTGTCAATGATTAGCTCGTATAGAATCCACTTTCCTTCTTTCTGTATCTTTCCTATGCGATGTAAACGATTGCAAATAGTTTTCTGGCTTATTCCCAGCTTTCTCGCAAGTTCTTGTTATGTTTATTTCATATTTTCATCCAGCAGATTTTGCAACTCCTCGTCTTCAAATTTTTTTGGCTGACCGGGGCGTGGTTAGTTGTGAAGATCAGAATCACTACTTCGAAAACGTTCAAACCAATTTTGGCACGTGTGATCGGTCACAGCATTTTTACTATAAGCCGCGTAAATCAATTTGGCTGCTTCAGAAGTTTTTTGTATTTTTAATGAAATGTGTATCGAATATGCTTTTTGTTGTTAACATCGTGAACATTATTGATTATTTGAGGTTATGTGTATCCAACACCAAACCATATGTCATTTCGAAAAGTTCGAAATGCCAATATTTTAAAATGTCTCCCGCGAAAAAGCGGGAGAATATCTCAATTTCGAATTTTGCTCCAAGCTACGTAAATTTCATTGGAAAGAATTAACCACCAGACTTAATATACAGGTTAATTGTAAAAATAAGCGATATGAAATAATAAGAAGAACATATATAACTGAAGATACTCGAGTACTGTACTTAAATATATTCAAAATTATTCAAATATGCAATAATCCGAGAAATACCCAAACAACTCCACATCGGTATCTTGTTTCGATATTTTGTTTCGGTCTGGGCTGATACTGATAGCTGAGATACTTGGTATTCGGAATTGACACCACAAATTGTTCCAGAGATATGACCAACATCACATTATCCAATTCTGAAATACACTGCTATTATGGGGTTGGCCTTGGGCCAACAAACTTGCGGTGTTTCAAAGGAGTCACAGTATCCTTGCCCCCGTCGACAAGTCGTATCCCTCCCTACCATGCCCCAAGTTCTATAAACTCCACTTTGTGCAGCGACGTTTAACTTCCGCGGCGTTTAACCTTCTCTGGGGTTGGAACTCGTATTTACCTTGCCCTTACTCGCAAGCTGCAGCAGCCTCTTCACATTGGGCAGGTCACCCCTTTCCACGGCCAACAGGTACTTTTTCTCTTCGAGATTGAGCGGCCGAGGAAGATTAAGTATGTAGCTGTCCGTGCCGTGTTCTGAGGTCTCCACGTCCCTTTCGCTCTTTTCGTCGCCCATCCTGACGTGTCACCTTCCGTCTTGATCACGACTGTCTTCAACTTTACCAAAGCCGCTTACGCAAAGCGAGAAGGACCGTTGGGATCATTTCCTCAGCGGTCCAAAGTGTCGACAAAGCACCGACAGCGCGAACAATCAGCGAAGGGAGCCACCGGAAGTCTTGGCGGAGTAGTCCCGGAGTCCGTGGCGAAGCGAGAAGCGGCAGGCAAGATCTTGGCGCGAACGACGTGAAGCTCGCAAGAGAAATGTTGTTTTGCCCTCGTGCGAGTGGAACGTCACGGTAATTATATAGGGGATGATGAAAATCGAATTACGCGTATTAACCCAGACCCTGTTTGTCCAATAGCTCGCGGATGTGGACGTGGTGCGTCGCCGCTGCCGCCGCCGTTATCTGTCTGTACGGCCGCATGGTCGACTAATATGCTTACCGATATCTTGTTAGCCGTCTAACGGATTGCACTTGGAATAAGAGCACGGCCGAGTTGGCCGAAACGAGAGAATGCTAACACCAAGCGATTAGACCACCGCCGCGACGGTAGTCGCACCGCTAAGCCGAGTAATTCCCTATCGTCTCGTGTATTACATAATATTCCGACAACAACAACGATGATGCGACATTCAGCGCATCGGGCGACTGATACAAACTCTACAAGTAGTCGCGAGACCGAGTCGAACGTCATTTGGATCGTGCCCGGTGAGCGAAGAATAAATGGCCCCGAAAATACAACGATGGAGTGATCGGCTTTTGGAAAACGAAGGTCATTGGTAGATCTACACTAGTCATAGGTAATGTTTATTGGCCGATTGTATACAACCGTTGTATTCTGAACACATTTACTGGCTGCGTTAAGCGAATACAGCAGATGAGTGACGGATTTGGATAGATGTTTTATGATTGATAGATTTCAAAGTATACATTAATCAAGAAAACAGAGTGTTAGAAAAAAAAGAGTACAAGATTTATATACACAATAGGTAATATTCATTATACTGACAAGGAAACACAAGTAAGTGTCTCCCTTCGATCTGGATGAACTTGAAATATATTGTAATTAAGACCAAAATAAGAGATACGTATTTTTTTATACATATTTAATCGGCCATTTAAGGGATGAAACGCCCTTCTGAAAAAGATTGGTTTTTTTTTTCTTCCGGAGCATGTATCATCAAAAGTATAAGAGATAGAAAAACACTTTCCGAATAAAAATTCAATATTTGATTTGGAAGATACTTTATAATGGCATTTTCATTTTTTTAATATTGAAATTTTAACCATACTCCTACTACTTATCAATTTTTTATAATCCAAAAATTTTGTTTCTACTACTAAATGAAAGGATATTTTATGTCGAATCTAACCATGTATATTAATGCTATTTTTCAACATACGAACTTTCCGAAAAATAAGTAAGAATATTTCTATGTAACGCTGTACGTAGCTGTCTATTCCATTCAATGTATATAAGATGTCCAGAATCTTTTGGAAACAGAGAATTGTGAAGACTAATCAGATTAAACTGGGAAATAAAGCCAAATATCATTTTGCAAAAATCGCAATAGTTATTAAGTTATTAATGATTGAAAATGACCACATGTGGAAGCTTTTTTAATCGATAACTTGAAAATTTGCGTACTTACTTGCGTACTTATCTCAAAGTGATAAAGGACTTTTTTCCTTAGAATGATCTAATCCACAATTATATGAGGGCTATTGTGTCTAGCGACAGGTTCAAGATTCAGAATTCAAAGTTTAATACACTCATATTTATTATTGTATACAATAGCCATCATATAATTATAGATCAGGTCATTTTGAACAAAAAAGTCCATTACCATTTTGCAAATAAATATGAAAATTTTCAAGTTATCAATTAAAAGAGCCTCTAGATGTGGTCATTTTCAATCATTAATAACTTAACAACTATTGTCATTTTTGCAAAATGGTATATCACTTTTTTTTAGTTTAATCTGATTATTCTTCACAATTTTTCATTTCCAAAAGACCCCAGACATCCTGCATACGCAACACGCTCTCTTTGAAGTTCCTTACAGTAAGAAACAAACAAAATTGATATACTGAATGTACAATCCTAAAACATTTTAATATAAAACAACAAAAATAATAATAACAATAATAATGATATAAATTATTTTATACACAACAATAGTCATATATTTTCACATTACTCCGTCTATTTCTAGACACTTGACATCTTCGTACAACAGAATTGTGAAGTCTCTGTCAAAACTTAAGCTATTTAAATAGAGTACACGTCGAAAGATGAACTGGACAGATTGAATCGACTACATGGCTTCCTCAATTTTCCGATTTCCCGAATCCATTGGATTTCTTTTTATCGGGATGTATTAAAAATTTATTCTATGTTGGTTTATTCTATATCTTAGGTTGGTGTATTACTGCTACTTTCCCTTAGCGCTTGTACTACTGAACAATCTTTGATAAAATACTAAAGAGAGCAACAATTCTATAAATATGAATCAGTTAAGATTAAAGTTATTTTTACTCAGCTAAATTTGTTAATTTATAAATTTATCGATTAAACGTTAAAAAGAATTGTAATAATATAAGCAAACACGACAGATTTAAAGAGAATTGTTAATACTAATATAAGTAACAAACACACCACAGATTTAAAGAGAAATTGTTATATAAAATAAAGTATATAAAGTATATGAATCTTATTTACAGGACACTATTAAAAATTATGTAATGAATTAATTCTTCATTTTTTTCACTAAATAATTTTATTAAATGAAAATATGTTATAGATACAAAAGAGCGTACTATGTATGTACATTATTGAACTTTAAGTTAATCTATTTTTAGGTAAGTTTTAGGTAAGTTTTGTAACATAAACAACATTTTTAGAAGATTAAACAAAAAGATATTATATGGGAACGTTCAGAGATAAAATCAGAAACGTTTTATTTCGACATTGTCAACCCTAATCTGTTTTTCGCTTACTACGAATTGTTTTTTCAGTCAATTTTTCGACGCGAAAATATCGAGGGAGATTATTGAATGTCAGACACGACATTTCGATATTTTTTAAGCATCGCGATCCCTCTTTTCGGGCTTAGTTCGCGACAAATATATTTTACTTGTTCGAAGCGCCGTCCTCGGTAAGCCGTGACATTGGAATAGAAATCGGGTGTACCTGTTGAAATATGCAGCGGTTCGTGTCGATATTTGAAATCGCGTGACCTAGCGCGGCGCAGCGTGACGAGAACCGCGTAGAAGGTTGCGCAAATATTTCAAGTGTCATTGGCGCATTCGATAATTTCAAGCCGAAGAAACATTTGAATTGTCAGGCAAATGCGTGAGAACGCATATAATCTGTTAATGCCAGTGCAACTTACGGTGTCTCAGCGGTACATGGATTAATAACTTCATATGAATTAGTTCTAATTACGTCGGCGGTAGAAAGGAAAAGGATTTCATCATGCTGAATTAGCGTTAAAACATCTCCAATGTGGCTTATATCGAATTTTCCATGACGACAATGACGAAAACGAGATAAGAGAGTGAACGGAAAGCTGAGAATTCGCATTAGTCCGGAACAGATGATTCAAGAAAAAGAGAGCGAGGGAGGGAGATGGAAGTATTGGAGTAAAAGTGATTATTTACACGGTGGCTTCTTTTCTCTTCTTAGCCATGGTTGTGCGCGGAGTTGGCTTAGCGGCTGTATCCGATATCCAGTAATTGAGACACTCACGTTCTCTTTCACGTTCTCTTTCTCATCCGTTTGTTCCTTTATCGTTTTGGTATTGTTTCGCCTGAGTTGTGTATCGACGGCTATAAGGTGAAACCTCGTATTTACAAAAATAGCCGTTTCTGGACTCTAAGTTGAAACAAACTTGAAATATGTTTTAGGACATGCATTTTTCTAAAAAGTCAAAATTTCGAAATCCGGAGATTGGGACACTTTCCCGAAAAGTCATAACATCGAAATCTGCATACTCAAACAATACTCCCAAACACAATCTTTACGAATTATGGAAAATATATAATGTTTTGAAAAAGAACTCGCATCATCTAAACGTTTAGATTTTGTTATTACCCAAGCGGTTCCGCGCATCTACTAAAATATAGTTTTTTTTTTAAGAATAACGCAAACGCGTTACAGATTTTTTACATTTAAAGTGACAAAATCTCTCATTATTGTTACTTGTAGTTCTCTTGCCTTTTTACATATGAGAAATTAAAACATGTCTAATTTACAAGATATAATATGAGCTTTATTTAAATTTTTAAATACATTTATCTTTTGAGTACATTAATTGTATGGTATAATTAAGTACATTGATTCTTAATTATGATTAATAAAGTGTGTTCTATTTAAATACATTGAAACGACAGGTTCTTGCCGTCAATCTGCTGTCATATATTTTACCATCGGATTCTGTTGTAGTTTTGCTAACGAACTGCCGACTAAGTCTGCAGCAAACAGATTCTGTTTTTACAAGTTTGATTACTTAGGAAAATATATTGATGTACTAATATAATAAAATTTTAATAATATTAATATAAAACTATATGTACTAATATTATAATATTATAATAATATAATATAATATAATACTAATAAAGTACTACAAATATAATCATAATTATAATCACAATAATATATGATATATAAATTATATAATATGATATTGCTCTTTCTCATTAAATAGGTATATAAAGTATACAATATTAAGATTTGTGATTACAATTTGTGCAATATTACAAGCGGAGTTTTAGCAAGTAACATTCCGAACAAGTTTGGCAAGTTTAACTTTATTAAATAATAAAAGTTATTTTAACAAAGCCTATTTGAAAAGAGATCTCTTCAATGTCGTCGTTCTCACGCTAATAAGACATAGTTTTATACGCGCACGTTATAAATTAAATATAATTATAATAACTGCTTTTCGATTTTTATTTGGACGAGAATAATCTTTGAGATGTAAATATGGTTGGAATATTGTGAGCGGCAAGAATATGCATCGATAAATAATAATCGACAGGAGAAAATTGCAGGAATAAAGTCACAGTCACAAACGTGCCGATAAAATACAAATCAAGTCTGTTCGGTTAATAACACGCGTTTTTCAAAATTATGTCGACGAGTTTGCGAGCGCGTCGTGCAGAAATGCATTAATGAATTCAAAGTTGGAATCGCGCCAACAAGTTGCGATCAGGAGCGCACTCTGATAAATTGCAGGACGAAGCTCGCGTTAACAATTTGCAAGTCAAAAACTCGCGAGTCAGGGTATTCACGAACGAGTTGCGGGTGAATGAATAAATCATGCATCAAAATTGCAACAACGGCGATAAATCGCGAACTAAAGAATTAACGACCGAGAGCGCGGAAAGAGAAGGACAGAAAGAGAGCGAGAGAGAGAGAGAGAGAGAGAGGGAGAGAGAGAGAGAGAGAGAGAGAGAGAGAGAGAGAGAGAAAGAGAGAGAGAGAAGTGGAAGACTACAAGATATGCACGTCGCGCTTCGTTGGCGATTTTATCCTCGCTCTCGCTCTGCGAAGATCAAGCGCGACAAGTGAAAGCGACGACAAGGAGATGAAGGCGTGTTTCTTTGCTTTTATGCAGCGTCATCCGTCATCATAAAGTTCATCCGGAAGAGAGAAGTCCTTTTCTTCCAACGGTTGACTGGAAAAACGCAATCGCCGACCGACGATGACGAGGAAAAGGGGGCGACTGTCGAAAGCGCTCGTGTAATAAATCCGCGCCGCGATCGCAGGTACGTCTCAGTGTCCCATCTCGTCCTTATCCGCGTCCTCTTACTCCTGTACATCCTCAGAACGCGCTTCCTGTTCCTCGCGCTCGCGTGTGCGCGCGCGTGGAACGGTACCGAAATGGCGTCTCCGTCGTCGTCGTCGTCGACGTCGTGTGTCGACATGTTGAAGATAATGTGGCTATTGTTGACCTTGGCGACTCTTCTTGATGCTCTGGCAACGGTCAGAAAGGTTAGCCAGGCTCCGGCCGGTTTTCGTTATTCTAAGGATCAGAAAGCGGAGGCCACGCATCACGGAGGTATGTATCTCTTTTCGGTGATATATTAATAAAATAATGACAAGTAATAATATATATTATGAGAAATATTATTTGTTGCAGAAATAAAAATAAATAAATAATATGTATTTAAATAATATTATATTAACGTATGATATATCTGGAAAGTATTTAATAATATTAATAATTCAATAATATATTACTGTATAAAAATTTAATTCAATAAATATTTGGTATAGCACGTCAGTAATTTAGTAATATATTTTTATAATATATAATAGAGACTTATCAGTAATTTATTTGGTAATTTAATAACACATTTTTAATAATTAATTTATTTGTGTACGTATCAATTTACAATCATTGCGCTTGTAATTTTTTGAAATAACATGGCTCTCTTGTTCGTGCAAAAATTTTCAATGGTGCATATATAATAAAATAAATGACTTTTATTATATATATAGTTTTAAGAAGTACATAAAAACAAAGAGAATAAGAGAGAGAGGGAAGGAGAGAGAGAGAAAGAGAGAGAGAGAGAGAAAGGAAGAAACAAAGCACACGTCAAAATCTAATTGTTGCAAGTTAAAATACAGTGTATATATCCTTCAAAACAACCTTCTATTATTATGTATAATAAAATAAATAATTTTTTTAAAGAAAACGACATCTCGAGCGATGTGTGTGGAGAATTTATCGGTGCTGGAAAAACTCGAATAAATATCGTCTATTGTATATTTACATACGCGTCGACGTTTTCGTTTCATGCGCTCGAAAATGTCGATGAAATAACCGTTCTTGACATCGACAACCGGAAATTTAATCGTACCGACAAAGCTTTCGGTGGATTACGCGGATTCATCGACGATCGTGTTAATTCATACGCGCCAGAGAATTAGAAGCGTGATTGAACACTGTGTTGTTTTGAAGGAGGTGTATATGCTATATTTTAATTTCCAATAACTAGTTCCTGCTGTGTGTTCTATCTCTCTCTCTCTTTCTCTCTCTCTCCCTTTCTCTCTCTCTTTGTTTTTATATACTCTCCAAAACTGCGATTCAATTAAGATTTCGTTATTTATTATTTAATTTCAGAAATACAGACGCAAGCTATCTCATTTTAATTGTCACCACGAATTATTTCGAAAGTAAAGAATTGGTGAGAGAAATATTTAAAACGAAGGTTTGAATGGTCTCTAGGATCTCAAAGGAGCAACTACATAACCCTCTAAAAAAATTCATTCCTCTCAAAGCATGAGGGTCACTTTAATTTTTAAAATAGCAACTTCTACTTTTTTATCATATATCTTCAAAGGACTTTTCAAGAACCTTCCAAATCGTCTTCCATGTCATCAGAGATATCTTTTACGATCCTTTTAACTCTTGAAAAATTATCTCTCAATTAAAAAAGTAAAGGAGATTTTGTACATCAACTCCAAGAGAAAAAGAGTAACTTCTAGAATTATAGCAAATTGTATTATAATCTCTTTTCGAGTCAAAAATTTTTATTAGAATTTTTGTTACAATTTTTGTTAGATAAACTCCATACATGCTCGCGAGCGTGATAACGCGAGATAAATTTGTCCCTTCTCTCACTTTTTGTTCAAGAAGATAAAAGATCACAAGCGTACTTGATAATAAACTTCCCGTGGGGGTACAATGCCCTGCGATTCACGCGCATTACCGCTTTTTATCGAGAAAGCGCGGACAGTTAATTCTCATCTCCGACATGATATGCGTCCATTTCGCTCCCGGGAGGGGAGTGATACCTCCGAATATACAAGCAGGCGACCTTGGTATCATATGCAGGGCGGCAAGAGGAAAAGAGAGAAGGAGAGTACGTTCGCTTTATGGGCGCACAATGGGAATTTTTCACTCCCGTACGCGTGCGGTAAACGACTCCGCGGTAAACTCCCCGCGCAAATCGAGAAGCTCGTTAAACGAGAGCGGCCTCTTACCGACGACAGGCCTGGTCTCTAGATGGTTTATTTACATTTTTATTCGAACAGGCGGCGGCGACAAACACCGGGAGGAAGGTAGCGGGACGAAACACCACGAGGACCATCACGATTCGCATGGCCAGGAGAACGATAAGGTATGCACGATAGATACCCGTCGTCTTTTCAACATCGCGACATCGACGCGTCCAGGTTGTCGTCATCGGCGTCCTCGTCGACGACATCTTCTCTTTTTTTATCGTCCGTAATATAAGCGTCCACGGTCTTCGCCCCTACGCGTCTCTCTCTCTCCCTCCGTCCTCTCGGATCCTCATGTCCTCCTCGGCCTCCCGCCCCTTCTTCCTCCCACTTGGCTTACTTGGCTTTCCTGCGAAGATATTTATTGCGAGGTCGTTTTTGCGCGATCGTTGTCCTCGAGGCACGAGACTGGTCTTATCCCGTATTCTGCGAGCGACGTAATAAGCCATTACCCCTTTGTGCGCCGTCGAATGTGCTGTCGATATATCCCGCTTTACGTTTCGACGAAAGCCACCCTCGCCGCGGAAATTTATGCGACGAGCGGACTCGCGCGAGCGCCTCTTTAGGAAAGCGAGCGAGGATTTCGCACGCCCATTGTGCCATGAAACCGGTGTTTTTGCGGTGTCACAAAACGCGCCGCTCCGATGCGAGCTCGGCGCTTTTCACGAGGAAGCGAAGCTCGGCTTTAAGCTCGACGATGCTTCTCGTGAGGCACATCGTCGCTTTTTCATTTCAATTGCTCGTTTACGCGAGAAAGACCTCTCGATCCTGCAAATGTTCGTAACACCGATTTATCGGCCGTATTCTTCCGTACTGTGACGTAATTTGCGTTCGGTGAAGGGTTACAAGGTGTTCCACGAGTTCGAGAAGAGCGACAAAGGTCACCACGATAAGGAAAAGCACGAGAGCGAGTACGACGTGGAGGACGGCGAGGAGAAGAAGAAGCACGAGGAGGGTGGTCATTACGGAGAGCAGCATCATGGCGAAGAGGGCGAGAAGGACGCCAAGTTTGGCGAGGAGGGCAAGCACCAGAAAGGATACAGCACGAAAGGGGAGCACAGCGTGTTCAAGAAGGTACTATGCGCCAGGATGTCGCGAAAATAATTTTCCCAGAGGAGAAGTGATCATACAGAAGATGTGAGAAGAAGGCTTAGGACTTATAAGAGTAGGGATGATATTCATTATACTGAGTAAAAACTACTCAGTAAATAGGGGAAAGTTGCCTATATTGCACTAGTTTTCAATTTTTTTTCTATAATTTGCAGATACTTAATAAAAATGGGATAAAGACTAATTGGAAGTTATCCTTGATCTAGTACTGTGATCAAAAAGTATCCGAACTTTATTTTTAAAAATCAAAATTACAATTCAATCATGAAAATTCTTATAGTCTCCTTCAAAGTAGTCGCCATTGCTTGCAACGCACATATGCCAGCGTTTGATCCAGTCCTGGAAACATCGCTCATACGCGGCAGACAGTATGGCCTTCAATTCACGCAGCGATTTTTCTTTGATGTCCTCAATCGATTCGAAACGCTGTCCGCGTTATGGTTTGGTTTTTTCAGTAGGGGAAACAGGAAATAGTCGCAGGGGGCCATGTCTGATGAATACGTTCGTTGAGTTTTTGGAGAAAATTTTGGAGAAAATTCAGGTTTTTCGGAATTAAGCGCGATGCGACCGGTTTCATGTCTAGTATATTGGACAAAATGTGCTGGCACGATCTAAATGATATTCCAACTTCAGTTGCTATCTCTCGCACAGTCAATCGGCGATTTTGGAGCACCAATTCTTTCACTTTCTCGATGTGAGCGTCATCTGTTGACGTTGATGGTCTTCCAGAGCGTGGGTCGTCTTCAACGGATTCTCGTCCCCCTGGAAACTTCTTAAACCACTCAAACGTACTTGTTTTTGATAAACAATCATCGCCATAAACTTTTTGCAACATTTTAAATGCGTTTGTGAACGAAATTTCGTTTGCAACACAAAATTTCAAATAAATTCTTTGCTCCATATTTTTCGACATCGTAAAAATCGCCGTGCATAACGATCTTCACTGACATAAACAACTGCCACTTTCAAACGGTTTGAAGGAACGCCATGATTTTTTCACGCTCAACAATATATAAAGATGCAATAAGTTAGATTAGATTAGGATTTTCTTGGGGAAGGGGTGCGGAGGAAGGGCGGAGCTCCTCCGCCGCTTATATGTATTGTGTTTTAAAATAACCTCCTGCAGGTTTTAAATGTTAAATGTAGACTGTGTCGAAAAATTATGTTCCATTAATGAAACTTCTTTTGTTGATAACTTTTTAACAAACAACGCTGCCTAAAACCTTATGCACATTATTCAGGGTGATGACCTTGACAATATATGTCAAGGTCAAAGTCATTGAAAGTGCATCCCCTATACTGCATAATTATCAAAATTATTATTTGTTATATATGTATTATAAGAAGCAATGTGATATAATTTTATGAGCTTTTATTTACATTATCTTTTTTTAATAATGATTTGTAGTGCGGTTATATTTTTTCATTTCTTAGTAACGATTGCAATAATGCATTTTTTAAATAACAGCATTTGTTATTTTCATCGTTATTTTGTACATGTAAGATATCCACTCATACAGTCAATGGAAGAAAAAATGCAACATTTTTATTTCGATGGTTTTCAAAATACATTCGGTATCCAATAGGAAAATCCAATAGGAATTATCTTCTGAAAATTGTTAAGAAATATAATTCTTCTATTAGAGACGTGTGTGTTGCGAAATTCATTGAGGTAAAATTATAACCTTTCTTTTGTAAAAGGAAAATCTATAAAACTTGACGAAGGAGAAAAAGAAACGGAAATTATAACAATTCGCTTTTTAAGTAATTTTTTGAGTAACAACGTGGTAACGAGTTATTTTTTAAAACGATCAACGGTAATGAATTTTTTTTTTAATATATAACGAATAACGAGATAACGAGCTATCTTTCAAAAGCAGCGTGTAAATAAGAGATATAAAGAGAAAGAGAGAGAGAGAGTAACGTGTGCGTGTTGAAATTCGTAGTTGCTTAAATAGTGATTGCCGTTCACGTAATGCCAAAGCTGCAGTAAATATTTACACGAATGTTATAGCTTTCCGAGATTTATAAGATCAAACCGTATATGGCTTCGGTACTGCCACTCGTGATGTCCGGGCTTCCGTATGATGTTCCCGTATTTAGCGTTTTAACACTGTTACGGTTTACATTAAGCCAGCTTCATACTATGTGACAATGTAGGCCAACGTTGGCTATGAATGTTGTGCCGATATTAGAGTCTAATATTTATATGTGATTTATATGTAAAAATCTAAGAAAAAAATTACACAGTTTTACACATGACACAATTGACATCATATTGTAATCGCAGTCGACTTAGCTAGTGTTTTTTTTAATAACACTAAATCATATCTAGTCTCGAGGATGCAATTGATAATTCTTCCGCCGTCATAACTCATCTCACCATAGTTTTATACAATTAAATTAATTTATTTCGGCATCAACGTTTAATTAGACATAGCAGCTGTTATTAGGTTTATAGTTAGTAAATAATAATAACACACATTTTTTATGTTAAAACCAAATTTTCCTTTCTGACTTTTTTTTTATTAATGCGTGTATGTGCATGAATATATGTATGTGCGTGTGCATGTGCATGTAAATTAATATGAAATGTTACTTCAAGGATGAGTACGAGAAGAAGCATGATTTTTACGACGAGTACCATGAAGACGGAGAACACGAGAAGCACGGCGGTTGGCATGAGGAACACGAGGGCAAGAAGGGAGGTCACGAAAAGAAGGGCCACCTACAAGCCGGCCATCATGAGGTCATTATTCATCGAGCTCATTATGATTACCTAGTCTTGAACGTCGTTCTTGCGTCGTTAATCACTTTGCCTGTTTTCTCAGTCGCGTTTATACGAGCCTGCTTCTGATTTCAGGGTCATCATGGTTCGGACAAGAAGTATGACGAAGGTCATCATCATCACGACAAGAAAGGTCACAAAGCGTCCGATGGGCACAGCAGTCATCACGAGTACGACGAGAGATACGGTCATAAAGGTGGCCGCGCTTCGGGACACAAATGGTCGAAAGCTAATCACCATTGACGAAACACGATCGCTACGTAATCGTCAAGTCTTGCTTATTTTTCTCTTGCTGGGAATTTTGCGAAATTGATCTGCAGAGTTTGCGATGACGTTGGACGGAACCTGTTGCAACGCACTAAACCATCTTGGGGACCGTTATGGTGACGATAACAATTTTCTACTCGTCATCAGCGTGGACTGCGCACATGTTTACCGCGAAATTTTTATCTATAACGAATAGTTTTTACTTACTTACACTTATTATTATATATAGTAATCTTAATGCAAGTACAGAAATCTAACATACTTAGAGGACGATAACTAAGATTAAACTTGGTTGAATTGTGGTAAAATATTCTTTTCTTTCACTCAGTGAGTAATAAACGAATAAAAATAACGTTTGCAATATGAAAACACTTAACTCATCGAAATTTATATTTATGTTACTAAAAAGATTTTGTAGTTAAAGGATTAGAATTAATGTCTACTCGTTTCTTAAAGTTCTCAAATTGGTATTGCAACTATTATTATTGGTGTTATGTTACTGGAAATTGGATGTTGAAAATGTTGTCAGATTGTCATCGCTAACAAAGGGAAGGAACATGAAAGGTAATTTTGTTGTAGCTCCTTCTCCCGTTGGAAATATAAAACGGAATGACAACGTTTCCGTTACACAATATTTTATTTTTACAATATATATGTTCTTAATAAAAAATCATAATTTTTAACTTCGTTTATAATTTGATGCATCTACGTCTTATTAGTATTGTTATTACTACTACTTATTAGTATTGTTATTGCTACTATGACAATTATGCCTATAATGGCTATGCTAATCGATGTAATAGATATGATGAAGTTTTTGTACAGAGAAAATAAATGTGATGTTTCTTCTAATTATTTGTTAGTTTCTGATAATTTACTACGTAAATTGGTCAACTTGGTTGTATGCGTGCGTGCGTGCGTGCGTGCGTGCGTGCGTGTGTGTGTGTGTATGTGTGTGTGTATGTGAAAATCTCGAATGATTTATTTTAATTTAATATTTTTAACGTATTTTTCTACATTTGTGTTGATTGGTGAAAATATTCAGTTATAAGCAGGTAGGTATATTTCAATCCCATTATTATTCATTGCTCCTGTTGACCTTATTATTAATTGTTAATGTAAATTTTACATAACCGTAGCACATAACTGTATTATACGTAATAATTCTGTCCCTTTAATTCTTGTTTTTTATTTTTTGTTTAACTCGATATATTATTGTTATAATATATTATTATTTGTTCCATAGATATGCTGTGTATAGCCATTTCCGCGAGACTTTTTTTTTTGCTGTCTCTGTTCGTACATTTACATTTCGCATGTGGATTTGGAGTCTAATTTGCTGGTTCTGAAAAACTCGATGTGTCAAATTTGATAATATATTATATTGTGATGCTTTTTTTCTAATTCGTGGATATATTATACAAGATGTATAAAAAGTACTGGGACGGCGAAATATTTCGAAAACTAAGCATTTTAGAAAAAAATGGTCTCAAGAATATATTTTACAATAACGCCCTACTTTTTGTTAATTGGATGATTTTGAAATTTCCAGAGGTCGATAAGTTAACAAAAGTTAGAGCAAAGCTAGAGCCATTGTAACAATATATTCTTGAGACTAAATAGAGTAAAAAGAGTCCAGTACTATTTTTTCTTCCGACAAATAGTTAACGAAATATCGTAAGTTAAGTGTTGAAAAAGTTACCAAGTTTTCCTTAAATATCTCAAAGAATATTAGGCAAATAAAGAAATGTTTCAAACAAAAATTGTCCAAATTAATTGGTAGAAAAAGATGATCTAATAAAAAATTGGAAATTCCACACTGAGAAAAAATTGTATTAAAATTAAACAAATATTTGTTCGAATATGACTGTGAATATTTATTCAAATCAAGATTTATTCAAATCAAACGACTAATTTCTTACATGCTACTTCATTTAGTAAATGACAGGTTGTTTGTATTTTGAGATTTGTGGGAATGTACAACTAACGGTTGATCCGCAAATTTTTCTTATTTACCATGGTGACTAGCTCTTATATTCAACGTATCTATTCAACGATATCTATTTTTGCGACTACTCTCTGTTGATTCTGGGGATGTAATCTTCCGATTTTATTAAAATATGTGCATACCAACCAATATATGTACATACCAATGTGTGTTGGAACTCGAGATTCTCGTTGCCCTGGTTGTGCTTGCCCTGACATAAACTGTTTCTGATAAGTATTAGCCTGAAAACAAATTTCCGGCTATATTAGCAGTTTCTCCACCATGTTGGGTTATCGATGTTCACGCTTTGTATTTTAGGCGGCTCTAGTTACTACGGGGGTGGATATTGCGTTAGTTTTATAACGCAAATTTTAATCTCTCATAAAATAGTAAGCTTATTCGCATAAACTTTTGTCGCCCCTTTTTTATTACGATTTACATCGGAATGCTTTTTTATTACGTCCTTTGGTCCTATCGATAATGCTTCTAACTATTTTGAAAGTCTGTAATATTGGACACTTCTTAGTTCGGTATAGGAATCGCTTTATGAAATTTATTAAATTATCTTGGAACACACACGTAAATATCTGTTTCTGTTACTTGTCGCAGTTAAGGGTTCGACGATGTCCAACGTTTTTCGAATAGTCAATTCAGAATGTCGGTAATTATTAACAGACTTTTTGTTTGTGTGATTACTTTTTGCGATTAGATTATTATTATCTTTCTTTTAGTACTATTCGCACCGATTGACGTAATTTTTTACAACAGCAATGATTTCCTTTCAACTACATTTTAATCTATTCAATGTTCGCTCTATTTCTTAGTATTCTCTTAAAAGCGCGCAATAATACTTGAATTTGTCGCTTCTCATTTTCCGTATAGCACTCTAAGTTTTTTTGCGTTTCCTTTTTAAAAACGAGTTATTTTACATTATTTCGTAGCGCGTCTTTAGTCGTCACTTTAAACTTTAAGTTGCTTTCTAGTATTTAAACATCGGCCGTATTCGATCAGAATTGATGGTTGATAATTTATAATTCTGAACGAAATGTCACATTTAGCATGATTGAAGATGAAATCAGATAAAGCACATCTTCTGCACCTATGCTTTATCACTTTAATCGAGGTAGAACTGTTGTAATAACTAAAAGATTGATTTATAAAACTTGTCGAGAATATTGTATCCGCTGCTGCCTGTGAAAAGTACAATAGTTTAAGAGGTTTAGAAATTGTGATTATGATCTCAACAATAAGGTACATCCTAGTTGAAAAAATAACAATTTTTTTTTATGAAAAACGAATAGTTAGTGGGCGATGAAAAATATATCTATTTTGACAATTCTAAACGCAAAAGGTCATGATTTGATTCTGGTCAATCATCAATATCCACAGCAAAAAAGACAATCCACAATTATAAAGTTCTTCTTATGTCTTGATAAGACCAAGAAGGAGCGCTTTAACAGACCGCTACAGTCAATAATCATGGCGTTTGAACCAAGTCATGAGGGAGAAACGCTCTCAAATAACCTCGAATCGACGTAAGGTTATCCTTTTTCACGATAATGCCAGGTATGTTATTGTTGCGACTAAAGAAATGTTGTTCTTATTAGGTTTGGAAGATTTCTGTCGTACCCAGCGTACTCTCCGGATATCGTCCCATCTGACTTTCATTTATCCAGATCGATGCAGTACGGTTCTGAAATATTAAAGAAGTGCAAGAATGAATCGACAAACAGATTGTCTTAAAAAATGAATCATTTTATCGACGAAGGATCAAACTATTGCCCGAAAGATGGCAAAAGATTATCGATAGTAACGACCAAGAATGTACAATACTTCCAAATGGGAAACCCTTTCGATTGAACTGAAATTTTTCTAAGTGATATTGTTACGATATATAGTGATTATTTATGAAGGTTCTATCTTCGAGTTCTATATAGTTGAAAAGATAAAAGAGATAAAACTAAAAAAGGAATAAATGAAAATAACTGGTATGCATATTAATATCAACATCATGCATATTTAGTAACTAAACTAAATCTTAACCCTAACCTAATATGACCTAATTAAAAATCTACATGTTTTTTATTTATGTTTTTTAAATTCTTTTATTTTTATACATTTTAGTTCTTTTGATTTTTGTATTCATGTTTTAATTTTTATTAAAAAAAAGAAAAAATTATGAATGAAAAGAATTTCGTACATACGCATATTAATGTTAACAATATGTAAATTTAATAAACCAAAGCAAACCTAACCTAATCTGAAACCTACAACATACATTTTATTTGTATCTTTTGATCTTTTTAATTTTTTAATTTCTAGTTTTCTATTTTTTTAATTAGGTTAGGTTAGGTTGAATATTTTTTATCTTTTCATCTACAGAAAACTCGAAAATAACTTTGATAAATAATCACTACATATATCGTAACAATATCATCTATAAAGTTTTAATCCAATCGAGGAGATATTCCGTTTGGAAGTAGGACTCGCGCCCAATATTTTGATTAAAATATCATCACATGTCATCTCATTGTTATCAATAAAAATAAAAATTTATTATATTTCAACATTATACAAACTTTTGCAAGCACTTAATAGTTAAACTAGTCCGAAGCTTCTTATCTAACTCCAATTAAATTTCAAAAGATCCTGATAATAAAAACCCTCAAAATAATAAAACTTTATTTTTACTTAATTTTTATCATATTAAGAGTTTTATTATTTTCATTATTTAAATAAAACTTTAGTCTAATTTAATACACTTTATTTTAATACAATATGTACTGTGTCTAATGTAATATATTACATATATATTGACTTGTGTATATATAATATATTTTATATATAATATATTTTTTAATATATTTTTATACGCAAATGCTTGAGACTTAAGTATATAACTTAAGTGTATGTAAATAAAAATATGTTGGATAAAGTTATTCACGCGGATCGAGACAGTATGATTTTTCGAGCAGGCTTGCATCATGCTGCCACTTTTTGGCCCAAAGCGCAACTCGCTATCGCCGATTGCCAGAAGAAGTGAAAACCGATGCCAAACCGGTTGTGCCTGGATGCACGTTGTATTGCGCGAACGAACACAACTTGTGTATTCTACAATGCAGATATACGGTATCGAGGCGACCTTGCGAGTCTTCGTTTTCTCTCGCGATACTACGTCACGTTTTCTGTTTTACCTTCAAGCGCGTTGAAAATCGCGAGAAAGAAGTACAACTCTTCGTGGCGCCCGAAAGATCGTCGTTGTATCCATGAGCTTCCTTCACTGATCAACAATCACGCTTATTAGCTCGAGAGGGTCGCAAATGGGTCG